ATTTTCTACATAATAAAAGAATAAAAGTATTTTTAGCATATAAGACAGTTGCCTATCAATTCTTCAGGTGTTTTTGGAAACTTATGCTTTGATATTATTTTAACTCTCTTATAAGGATTTGTTTAAAAAGGAAATTTGGACATTGAAAAATGGGCCAAGCCAAAATAGGCCTAAATATTTCAATTAAGTAAGCTTTATCTGCTTCATATTTTTTATAAAAGCCTTTCTGTAAAAAAAACACTTAACAAATTCATACAATCAAGCTGTTTTCACTGCAAAATTAGGCAAATAAATTTTTAAACCTATTGTTTGTGCAATCGAGACTTAATGCAAATGAAAACCGTCCTGGTAGTACACAGGGTGAAAAAAGTATAAGTGGTTTCCATTTACATATAAAAAGTTAACAGAAATTTAAAAAAACAAAGCAAAAATAGCCAGTATTTCAGTATTCAAAACTCCAAAATTATAAAGATAAAAAATAAAGAAACTTATTTGAGAAACAAACTAAATAGTTTTCTTGAGATAAAATAAGAAAAATAAATTTTAAAAAAACTACAAAAAAAATTATTCAAAATTTTATGCTTAAAAAAAATTGTAAGATGTCTTAATTGACACAAAATTAAATAATGACATGAAAAAAGTAAAGAAGGCAAAATTGCACTGCAAACCAATTAACCTGTTGCTGATTAAACAATCAAAACCTGTAAGAAAAAATACTTCATGTGTAGCAGAAAAAAAATTTTATCACTAAAAAAACAAAAAAATGTTATTCAACATTTGCAAAAAAAAAAAAAACTAATTTTTATTTAAACTATTAGCTAATGATCAACATAGTAAACTTAAAATAATTCAAGCTTACTAAGTTAAAACCATATTTTAACAGTAGACAAAGTAAACAAATAGTCTGTAGAGCACTAAAGTAGAACTAAAAAAATAAATTAACAACTAAATTTAAAATGTTTTTAATACATAATTCTTGCAGTTAAAAACATTAAAAAATAACTTTACCTTTACAAGATAATGATGGTAAAATAGTTAAATCAAACTAAAACTAAAAAATAAAAAGTATTGAAACGTTAATTTTTTCTTAAGTATGGTTCTTTTTATTAAAATTTTATTTTTTTGAATAGATAAGGACACATTGATAAAGAACAATTCTTTCATAATAAGTTTATTACGTTGTGTAAAAGTCATTGAAGTTCTTTCTTATTGCAAGTACTTAATAAACCTATGAATACCTGCAATAACCGGTGATTATGAAAATTTATTATTCAAAAAATTTTATAAAATTTATTATTTTGACATGGAGATTCATAAACACTGTCACAGCATCTCTTGAATCATTCTAAAATTTTGCATGTTTTGTTGACTAAAATTTTTATGGTGTTTAGTGTAAAAACAAAATGTACAACTCTCAACAAATTTTTTTGTAAATGTAACTTAATTTTTAACTAAATCAATATTAAAAGAAAAAAATATATATGTTTTTGAAAGAGTATAATTATTTACAAACAAAACTTAAAAAATAGATCAATAAAAATATACATATAAAACTAAATACATTTACATACCTCTTTTATTTGTAGATGTAGTTATGTATTTTCCACTGCCCACTATAACTTCTTAAACTGCATTTTTGATAAGGGTAATTTCTTCCCTTTAATAGAGGGAAAAACTTATTGCCTATTCTAGATATAGAAGACTTTATTTAAAATTTGACTCCTCCACTTTGAAACCCATGTTGTTGGACAGAATAATACAAACTGCTATTCAACAAAAACTTAAAAAATTAAACATTTAATTACATTTTCATTACATTAAAATAAATACCAACTTTAAAACTTAGGATAAAGATATATTAAAATTTAAAACTTACAATATATGATAAGCTATGAGACTATAATTAAAACAACAATCACATAAATATTGTTATTTAATATTTAAATAATTAGGAACTAAAAAAGTAAATTTGAAATATTTTTTAAAGGTAAATTTAACTTAATAAAATCTAACATGAATATTATCACCTGACAATAACACTGTGCTAAATAATTAGATTAATGTAAAACATGTTTGAGTATCTAACAAAAAAAAGCTATAAAAAATAAAAAACAACTTACTTATATCTAAAATATGCTCATCTTCAGCTTCCATAAAATTAACAGCTTGTTGAGAAACAATTTCTACACATCACCCACAAAACAGAACATGTTTCATTAACTAAAATATTAAAAAATCAAACTTTAGTAACTATAAAAACAGATTGAAAATTACAAAATACGATTATAAATAGAATTCATAAATAAAAAAATATTCAATAAATATAGTTTTACGATAATGATTAAAGAGATATTCAAAGATATTTAGAGATTCATGAATGTTTAAAAAGTAAAATAAATACTTATCGCGTGCACTTCTACAGTGCCTCGTGCATCTCATGTTATTTTAATCATCACAGTAATTGATGCGCTCTCGGTAAAGAATGTTTAACAGGGGCGTTGATAAAGAGCTGTAAATCTCTAAAGTTTCTTATTATGGTAATATTAAATAGTTTAACTTTTAATTATTTTTAGAAACAATAAATTTTATAAAATAATTTAGTTTACATATAAAATTAAAATTTTTAATTATGTTCTAAATAAAAATATACTTTTTAAACCCCCTTACCATTTTTAAAAAAAGTTAAGGTCGCCGCGTGGCAAGTTCATCAGCTTGCCACGCGGTTTTGTTGTTTAAAATGCAAATCAAAAGTTATATAGATTTTATATTCTATATATAAACATGTTTTTTACTAATTTTCCTTGCTCAATTTAGTTGTAAATAAACTTGAAAAGTTTAACTAAAATAACATGAGTATCTCAATAATGACACATGCGCAAAAAAAAATTAATAAGAGAGTCGCCGATGGTAGGACTTGAACCACGACTAACATAGTTAGAAGCCCAGCGCTCTAACCACTCTACTACACTGTCACGTTGAGTCTCGATGATTTTAAATTTTATAAAAATTGTTTTTAACGGATATAAACACAAAAGATTAGAAATTAAGCAAAGGTTGACGAAATGCAGTTCTTAAGTGAAAATCAAACTGTTGAACTTGACATATGTTTAAGCATGTTTTAACATTACATAACATGAAGTTTAGGTGCGTACGATATGAGTTTCACATTTGCTCACGTTTTCTTATAAAGCAAAGGTAAGACTCTTTCTCGTCACTACCTCGGATGCAATGGTTGCCAAGAGTATCGTGTCAAACAGGCTCGAAAGCGCACTACTACTACTATTAAATCCAGTATTATTATAAAGAGATTATATTATTTTATTATATTAATTCATATATAATATTAATATTATATAAGAGAGGGATTTGTGAAATATGAACAAAAGCATGTCAAAAAGTAATATTGTACTTTCTCTTTATAAACAAGTTTGCAATGATCCAGAATCAAGTGAAGTTAGTAAGAATTTGCTAAAGCACTTACTTACATTGTTGGTAAAAGTTTGTTCATTTTTTTAAGACCTGTTCATTGCAATCTGAAGTCAAGAGGAGAAGTGAAAAAAATTGACATGATTAGTTTGCTGAACATAAAAAGCTATTTTCATAGTCACATTTTTAAAACATTAATGGTATAACAACTACTTAACTCTAACTTTAAAAAACGAATACACTGGCAAATACATAAAATATGCTCATGATTTACTAGTATCAGAATTAGTATCACAAAAAACTTGAACGCTTAGGGCTCATTTTATCTAATCTCCCATTTTGCTATGCTATTTCTAAGTTCATATATATAAATTACTTTTTTGTTTGTTTGTTGTTTTGCTTGTGTTTGTTGTTGCTATTATATTTGAGTAATATTATAGTAAGTAAGGTATGCAAGCTAGCTCCCAGCAGCAGGCTATTTCAGTATGATGTCAGGTTGCTTACCTTAGTACGATTTTGGTTAATATATATATATATATATATATATATACAAATAGTATTGCATATAATATATATGCAATACTATTTGTATATATATATATATATATATATATATATATATATATATATATACATTTATTAAAGTTATATATCTTTTTATATTTATTATAAAATAATTGCTGCGCTTTAACTTATAAAAAAAAAATATATATTATAAAAAAAAAAGTTCAACTTAAATTTTGTGCAAATTTTTGATGCATCTGTTTATTTAAAATTTAATTTTGAGTAATAAAAAAATGTTAGAAAGGAAAACCAAAAAAACAATTGCAATTAAAATAAGCAAATTTATTTTTAAGAATAAATAAATATAAAATATTGAACAATATTTAGTAATATTTTTAAATAAATTTGTCAGTTAAGTTAAACCCAAATATTAACATTAATTTTAAGAAACTTAAATATATTTTTTAAATCAAAATTAATTTTTTTTTAAATTAAAATAAAATTATATATTTTTATTAAATTAGTTTTATATTAAATTATTTTTTTATCAAAATTAAATTATATCATTATGCTATTATGATCTTAAATCAATCATTATAATAAAAATATAATAGTTTAAAAGTTAAAAAATGATAAAAAGTTACTTAACCAAAATCGATTACTGTTTACATAAAATCGCTTAAGGCAAACGTAAATCACTCTACATGTATCGCTTTAAAACAAGGTTTGATATAAACACAAAAAAATATATATATAAACAACCCTCGAAATTGGGAAAAATGAGGTCGGCAATAATTTCCAGACCTCAATCTTTTAGAGGTCTGCATCAGGCTGGCAAAAAAATTTGATACAAAGGTCTTACCATAAAACATAGAAATTAAGTGATTAAGTTTTTTTGCCAACCTCAAACACTTTTATATATATATATATATATATATATATATATATATATATATATATATATATATATATATATATATACACACTAATACTATATACTAGGGCTGTATATAAATATGCCTAAAAATGCATTTTTTAAATATTTATATTAATGTTATGTTTCTTTTAAGGTGGATTTGACCCAACTCCAGATATTGAAATGAGTGATAGTTCCATTATTACTGATACTACAAATAATAATGTACAATTTGGACCTGAACCAGAAAAATTATTAGAAATCTCTGATGACAGCATAGAAAATATAGATATATCTATTGAGGATATACCTGATGAATTTCCGGTTACTAATCTGTATGAACTTGAAGAAAGAATATTTACTGAGAATTGGTCCATTCCATTCAAAAAAAATGAGTCTTTAGCTAAGTGTTTATACAGTGCTACAAAATTAGCTTTTTATGAAAAAAGTGATATAGATACTAACTGTGCACATTTTGTTGATAGAATCTTACCTGAGTGCTTTAGCAAGTTGATGTTTTCTCCTGCTGTGCGTAAATGGCAACCTGATATACATGAAGGTGTATTTAATATGGTGCAGTTGTTCATTGACTTTGCAGCAACAAGATTGAAATATCAGCCATTGCCAGTTAAACTGCTTGGAATATTGTGCAAATGTTTTGATCCAGAATCAGAATTTCATTTCAAAAATAGATCAAGAAAATGGAATCGAACCTATTATGAAGATATATTTGGTTATGAAAAATGTCCTGCTATGAGTCCCCCATACACTTCTTACAAGGTAAGTTTGTTTACATTACAAGCTTTTAAAGTATTTAGTCAATTTTTTTTGTTAAATATTAATTTTATTTTTATCGTTAATAAATTTTATAATTAAGATGTTTATCTGTTGCAAACTTATTGATTTTAAAAACTTATCGACCTACTTTTACTGTAAATTTATCTTAAATTTACACTTACACATAAGTACAAAATTTCATTAGAATATTTATATAGAAATTTGATTTTGTGTGTGTGTGTGTGTTACTTCTCTCAACCTTTAAATACTGAAAAACAAACTTTAAAAAGTATAGTTTTGAAGATGAGGTATTAAAACAAATTTTTCAGGCGGTGCTTTGGTATATTATTGTGCGGTGGATTTTTTAAGGATTCTTTATAAAATTATAAAAAAATGACAAAAAATGTTTTAAAAGAAAATCCAACCCTTCAAAAGATGATATTTAAAATTAAAATTATTGCAATGCCATAATTAAAAATTATGGCATTGCAATAATTACTTACATTGCAATATATAATATACATTTTAATACATAGTTTTACTAAACGCAATAAAAAGAATCTCACTTGAATTAAATTTAAAATGATCATGAAATTCAAAATGTTTCAAAGATTTTTTTAAAATGTTGTAGTTGCATTTTAAAGCTAGACAAAAACCTGAAATCACACCACTAGGATTGTAACAGTTACATTGTAACTAAAAAAAAAAATTTACAACAATTAAGATATCCAGTCCTAGGCAATCCCTCTCTATTTTTTAGTTTTTATAAAAGTCTAATTGTATAAAAAATAAAGCAAAAACAACAAAAATCAACAAAGTTTATAAATTCAAACATTTTATTTAAGACATCTTGTACTACTTAGGGTTTCAGTACTACTGGTAGTACTGGTATTTGGTTGTATAATGAACATTAGTATTAACAGTATTTGTTCTCTAAAATTTTACTTATTATCTTTTGAAAATTGCTTTTTAAAAATTGCTTTTTGAAAAACGTTTTTTCACTTTTAGTTATTTGTTTATAAACTAAATGTTTTACCCTAAATAAACTCTTGAATTAAAAAAAATAAGTTGTTTAACCATTGAATTTTCCGCTAATGTGGACTTAAACTAATAATGTATCTTTAAGTATTTTAATTATCCTTTTTAATGTAATGTATCTATTTCTGACATTATTTTCAAAAAATGGTATATAATGTCAAAAAGCAAATAACAGAGAATCTATTGTTTTTAGTAATTTATGTTAAAAGATTTGGTAGACTTTTATATGCAGTAGTATGTTAGAGGTAGAATACTAACCTCATATTTATAAGTGTTGAGGTTTAAATTTAAATCCCTTATGCCTCTAAAATAACACTTTACCTGTGTCTCTGCACTGAAGCCTTGTATAACAAGGTTTGTGTTTCTGAGTTTCAATTTGAGAATGAGTTGCAAATAAAAAAGGAGCATCCTTGGCTGTAGTGTAGTGCTGTAGTACTCTGAAGCCTTGCGAGGTGTATATATGTGTATGCATGTGTGTGTTGTGTTTTTGTGTCTATGTGTGTTCAAACTCTTTTATAATGATTAACACATAAATATATTATTAAATAAATATATTAAATATATTATACAAAAAGTATTAAATGTCGTTATTATTTATTGTAAACAATTAATAAATATCCATTCCAATATTAATTCTATAAAACATTTTTAATGATAAATAAGCAAAACCCCAAAATGGATTATGGAAAGAGCACAAGTGATAGTAGTAATAAAAAGTACTGCAGAAGTATTTCATGTGTAATAAAAAGTATGGTGTTTTGAATGTGAAAAATAAATTAAAACATCTAGCAGCAGCAAAATTAGACTCATTACATACATATTTGTAAAATGCTCGACAAATGAACATGTCAAAAACAGGTGTTAATAAAGGTACAAGATCTAAACACCTGTAAAAAAATTCGCAAAAGGCACAACATATTTAAAGCAAATTATGTCATATTTTAACAATAAAACAGATCAATCATTCTCTGCAGTTTCTTGCATGGTTGCTTAGAATGGCTTGCCACTCATTTATTTTCATCAACTGATTATTATCACATTTTACTTCAAACTTTTTTCCTTCGAACATATTTTAAAATCTTCAAATACATAAAAAGAATATTTATAGACTGTTGAGAAAATATCAAAAAAAATGTTTCATGAATTGTATTCTTTTAAAGTACAAGATAAATGATTTCAGTTTAACATTAGGTTAATGGATGTCATTAAGGAATCAGTAATATACAAATGTTAATATTCATACAAATATCATATTTTGTAATACTAGTCTTATTATATTGTATATTATATTGTAATATAGTATACAATATAATAAGTGTAGTTTATATAAATAATATTTGTATAGTCTTAGATGTTAAAAAGTTATATGGTGTTAATTGACGAGCTGCGTCTTCTAACTAATAAAAAACTAAAAAACATTTCTTTAACTTTCGTTGATTTTCGAAAAATTTTTCAAACTTTTGATGTCTTAAAATGTGTTAGCAGACTAGTAATAGAACACTTGGCAATCAAGGTTCAAGTCTTAAGTTCAAGCTCAGAGTTCAAGTCCATCCTTTTATTTGTGCTTTTTCCTTGGTATTAAAATTTTATTTTTATTCATTTATTTATTAAACAATATAGTTACATTTTTAACGCATATGTTTGCATTGATTAATCTACAAATACTTTAAACTCTATTATATTTATTTTTTGCCTAATTAAATACTTTTAAAAAAGTACTTATTTTAAATCAAAAAATTGATTGATTTTATAATTAAATTTCATGTTTTAGGATCCATTTGGTTGGCTGGTTGACTTATTTAATCGGTTTTCATTAAAAGGTGGTTTAGATGCTCTTATATCTCAAATAAATAATGTTGAAGCTTTAACTCCAAATATTTTATCATGCCTATGGAAACCACTTGGATTGTGTGCTCCTTATTTAAACAAAGATGTCTTAAGTATCAAGTTAAGCGATTGTGCTTCAAATGTTGTGAAGTTTGTTACTGAGCTTAAAGAAAGTGACATGAAAGAAAAAGTAAATTTTAAAGTCAACACTTATTATTTTAGTTAATATTAGTATTTTAAATTTATATTTTTTTTAGGAAGTTTTTTCTTAGCTATCTTGTTATATTTCTTTTTTTTCTTATAAAATTGTATTTTTTAAATCCTAAAATGTGAATACCAATAATATTAATATACAGAATAGATATATCAAAATCTGATTGTTTTTATAATATAATCTATGATGAACAGCATGCACCTAAAACATTTAGTGGACTTGAAGATTTTAGTTCCAATTTTTTTAAATAATTTTTACAAATGTAATCTTTAGAAAGGATTCTGTTATTGGGTAATAAATATTTATAGAAATAGTCTGTAACATTATCTAAATATAAAAAAAAAAAAAAAATTAAAGAAATTTTTATATTGCTTTTGCATATATGTAGGAAGTGGATAAAGTTTTTGACCTTCTACGAACACTTAGTGTAGTATGTGAAGCATTGTGGAGTGACAAAACAACTCATGTAAATCAACTTCATTTATCTACATTATTAAAAATGCTTCACATAGCACATTTTAATTCACGAATGAATGCCTTGAAAGAACTATGCAGGTTGATTAAAGATTGTGAATCAAAAGAGCGTGGAACTAATGTTTTACAATATGATGTCATAATGAAATGGATGCTAGACAATAAAGTGTTGTCAATAGCTTTTTCTAGTATGTGTTGTTGTTATTTGTTATTATGAAACTGTATATTACCTGAGGGTAAAATCATTATTGATATATTTTTAGTTTTATATGTGTAATAATTTTTATTTTTATATTTTAATTTTATGAGTATTTTAAATTTTAAGTTTTATTATTATCTAAAATTCTTAAAATTTATTTGGTTAGACATTTTGCATCAATCTCAGTATTGTGAAAAATTAAAAAAAGTTGTGGAATTTGTATGCACAAAAATATCATTAGAAGAACTTACAACTATATGGTCTATGCAATCTGGTAAACACATCACTGTTGTTGATAATATTCACAATATTATTGCCAGTGCAGCACAGAACTTTTCAACTAAGCAGTTAGATCATTTGATTGAACTTATTCAGGCTGTATGTTTATTTATTGTTGTGCATATTGTGTATGTTTTCTATTTGATATAATTTTTTTATGTAAAACTTTCTAACACTTCTTTATATTTAGATTGTATTTAGTAAAGAGTATTATATAATATAATGTTAAATAAGTATATAAAGTGATATTTTATTATCTGTTTACTTGAATTTAATTAAATTGACATTTTATTATCAGTTATCGACATAAATAAGTATTACATTGATATTTTATTATCAGTTTCAAAGAAAAGTGAACTGGGACTAGAATGCATGTTATATCTTATTCAAATTTAAATTCTAATTCAAATTTAATATCTAATTCAAATTTAAATTCTAATTCAATTCAAAAATTAAATTCTAATTCAAATGTTGTATGATAGACTGATTATACACTATTACAAATTGATTATATATGTATATATTATATAAATTAAAGATTAACATACAGAAGGATTCAAAATATAACTAACTTTAAACAAAAATACTGATTTCTTGATATATTTTACAGTGCAGGATGCCACCTAAAAAAATTTACATTGCAGGATGCCACCTAAAAAATTTTACAGTGCAGGATGCCACCTAAAAAGTTTTAAACAATCTTAATTTTGTATTTATTTTTATACTAATTAACTTCTCCAAGGCTATACTCTTGAATCCTTAATACAGGTAAGTGGGGGGGGGGGGGGAAAGAGATAGAGATTTTTATGTCTTTTTTATATAAATTTCAGTTTATAAATCCAAACTAATATTTTTTACAAAACATGCATAAAACTATATAAATCTAGCATGGCTTGTGGTCAAATGCACATTTTCTAACAGCTGTTTTATAATAATTTCGATAGGATTTAATGTTGATATAAGTTTTACACTTTTGTGAGGAATAAATTAAAAGCTCATTTTTAATAAATCAAGATTTACTTGGTTGGTGATTTTTAAAGCCTGTTTACTATGAAAAAGTGTTTTTATCAGTGACTAAAATAATTATTTTCTAATTTTTAAGGCCAATTTTCACTGATTTTTTTTTTGATAACAAGTAAAAATTAAAAAACCCCTGGGATGGGGTAGGGGTCTCAATAAGGGTGGGTGGGAAAATTTTTTAAAAATTAATAAACGTTCCCCTCTCCTTTTTTTTTAAATTAGGGGCTCGAGAAAAAGCCTTAATTAAAATAATTGCTATTTTTCTTATAACTTTGTCAGATTGTGATTCGGTTCCAATCTTGAATCATTTATTATAAAAGTTTATCACCCTGTTACTGTAGTAAATTATAAGCACATTGAAACATGTCAATCTTGATTTAAAAATGTTTCTTTATAAACAGTTGTACCTTTATCACACTGACAATAAAACATTTTTTAAAAGTTTTCCATAAGCTTATATATAAAATATTTTAAAAATATTTTATATTTAAGCTTATGGAAAAGACGAGCATGTCAGACAAATATATCAAAGAAAAAAATTTGATTTATCTATTATTCTTGATATATCAAAAGCTATACTATATTAAATATTACATATATAAATATATATATATATATATATATATATATATATATATATATATATATATATATATATATATATATATATATATTTAATTTATTTTTTAACATCTTCGCTTCCAACAAGGCTGCAAGCAACCACTAATTAGTGTTGGAAGTTACTGGAAGAGAAAAGATGAAGATTGTAGAGCAAGATAACGGTTGACAGACGACTTAAAAGATTGCAAATTATATGAATCAGAAAAGCAAGATGAAGGAAGCGAATTCCAAAGAACTGATGTTCGAGGAAAAAAGCTTGACGAATAAGAGTTTTTGGAGCACTTAGGAACAATAACAGAAAAAGGATGAGACTTAATTGAATGACGAGTAACACGAGAATGAATTTTTGTAGATGGCACAAGAGACGCTAGCTCTTTAGAGCAGTGCCCATAATAGTATTTGTAAAAAAGAGGAAGAGAAGCAACATTACGACGATGTGACAGAGGTTGAAGTTTGGTTGCAAGAGCAGGTCCAACTATGTTTACAATGCGTTTTTGCACCTTGTCTAAAAGAGAAAGGGTATCATTAGAAGATCCACCCCAGATATGGCAACAGTATTCCATACAAGGCCGGATTTGAGATTTATAGAGATAGAGAATAGAATCCAGAGTAAGAAAGTGACGAGCTTGATAAAGAGAAGCGACTTAAGCAGATGCTAATTTTGCAACGAATTTGATATAAGGTTTATAAGAAAGATCAGAAGTAAGAGGTAATCCTAGAAGATGAAGGGTAGATGACTCATCGAGTACATTACAGTTCATAAATATAGAAAGGTCTAAATTATTGCGATAACGATTGGCTGAAAAAAATTGAGTTTTATCTGAATTAAAGTTCACCAGCCACTGTGAGCCCCATGCTGTAGCAGAAGTGAGATTCTTTTCAAGCTCAAATGCCCCCTGCAAGCAATCAGAGGGAGTTGGCTTCTTATCGTGACAAGAATAAATGGTAGTATCATCAGCGAACAATGCCACCTTAGATGTGAGAATATCTGGTAGATCGTTAATGTAAATTAAAAAGAGTATAGGGCCAAGGATTGAACCTTAAGGAACCCCTGAGGTTACAGAATAAGAAGAAGAGTGCTGTCCATCAAGGACAATTTTATAGTACGATTGGAAATAAAGGATTCAATAATCTTAAAGATGTTTCCAGATACATCGTAAGAAGAAAGCTTGTGGAGAAGACCAGCATGCCAAACTTTATCAAACGCTTTAGAAATGTCAAGAGCGATGGCCTTAACCTCTCCACCTTTATCTAATGCGCGATAAAACCTATCGGTTATTATTGTTAGCAAATCAGCCATAGAACAAGAGGATCGAAATCCATATTGATGATCAGAAAGTAGGTTATGAGATTCAAGATGAGAGATTAAGTGTTTGTTAATTAAAGATTCAAAAACCTTGCTTATGATAGGAAGAAGGCTAATGGGACGGTAGTTGAACAAATCAAGTCGCTCTCCAGAATTTTAAAAATAGGGATAACAGATGCTGCTTTCCACAGGCTGGAAAACAAGACTCTGATAAGCACTTGTTAAATAGTTTTGAAAAGATAGATGACAGCTCCAGAGAATACTTCTGCAAAACTATAACAGGTATGTTGTCCGGGCCACAAGCTGTAGAAGAGTCTAAGCAGGAAATCACTTTAGATACAGAAGCTGGAGTGATACAGATGTCGAGCAGTGGATCAACCTGTTTGACGGCTATATCAGGTAGAACGCAACTAGTGGCATCAAGAAATGATATTGATTAAAAGTTCTTGGCAAACAATTCAGCTTTGTCTTTAGGTGGGGTGACAAAGTCTGAACCGTACAAAAGAGGTGGAATTACAAACTTGCCCTTATTATTGATACTATTAAAGATTCTCCAGAAGTCACGAGAGCCTAATTTTTGTGATAAAATACGAGATTTTATGAACTGAGAATAGCGGGCTTTGGCGTTAGACAAAACCTTTTTACAATGGTTCCTAGCAGTAGTAAACAGACGTCTGTTTTCTGGAGAATTGTTTTGCTGATAGATATGGAAGTAATGGTTTCGAATGGCAGTTGCAGCAGCACAATGTGAGGAAAACCATGGAGAAGAATGAGGCTTGACCTGGTAAACTTGACCAAGTAAACTACATGTCAATAGATAAGCAATCCAATTTTTTATGGAAACCATATATCAAATCCATTGCAAAATGTGTTGCTTTATCTGGAGCAGATCTTCAAATGATACCCTTTCTCTTTTAGACAAGGTGTAAAAACGCATTGTAAAACTGCTCTTGCATCCAATTTCCAACCATTATCACATTGTCGTAATGTTGCTTCTCTTTCTCTTTTCTACAAATACTATAATGGGCACTACGCTAAAAAGCTAGCGTCTCTTGTGCCGTATACTCAAATTCGTTCTTGTTACTTGTCATTTAATTAAGTCTTGTCTTTTTTATGTTACTGTTTAGTGGTCTAAAAACTCTTATTCGCCTATTTTTTTTTTCTCAAACATTTCTTTGGAATTCGCATCCCTTATCTTGCTTTCCTGATTCATATAATTTGCAATCTTTTTAGTCATCTGTCAATCATTATCTTGCTCTAAAATCTTTATCTTTTCTCTTACAGTAACTTCCAACTCTAATAAAGAGTTGAAAGTTACTAAAAGTAAGTTTTTTTTTTTCAACATCTTTACTTCCAACAAAGCTCCAAGGTTGCTTGAAGCCTTGTTAAAAGTGAAGATTAAAAAAAAAAAAAAGATACACAAAACTATTCACAATTTCTTAGCTAAAAAAGACTCTCTAAAGAATTGTCTCTTAATTGACTACTAATGGCATTTTGAATTAAGTCATTTCTAGAAATAAATATTATCACCAATCAATAGCTTAAGACAGATTTAAACTTCTTGCTAAAGAAATAAGGCAATGAAAGCGATTTAGTGAAACTTTTGCACAAAGATTTTAATGAAAAAAAAAAGATTGACATAAAATTAATAGTAGCTAAAGGAGTAAAGTTTAGCATTACTGTCAAAGAAGTTGTTGTTTTAGGAGGACAAATATTTTGATATTAATATTTATGATAAAACTGATATCACAATTTTTGTTCATGCAGTACACTTAATATGGTTTTTAAATAATGAAACAACATCCAAGTATCTTTAAAATATCAATTAAAAAAAAATTGTTTGCATTATTGTCATGACTTTATCATATACTCCTTAAATTTTATGATGATAATAATAGCAAAAATAATTCATTCAACGAGGCACAAATTTTGAAGATTATTGAGTGTGAAAGTAATATCGACTTCCAAGATTTACTTAAGTACTAACATAATTTGATAAAATACATCAAAATGTCAACTGTTTGAAATCGCGCTTTTTAATCGAAAGTCAAGCTTTTTGGAAAAGAAACTGAGCTTTACCTTGATAAAAAATTCCCTTCAAGCAGGGCCACTCAACTAACTGTTAATTTTGCATGTTTGATCCCATTAATCGTGGCTCAACACAAATGATGCCTCTAATTTTTATCTACAGTCCAAACATCCTTTTGTCCATTGCCCCAATCTGCACACACCTGAGCTCTACCACTAATCCTAAGAGGGATTTGCCATTTTCAAGAGAAGTTTGACAGTTCCTATTGAACATTTAAAAAGCTGAAGGTTAGCATAAAATAGTTTGGTATTTCACTAAAAAAACTTGAACAATCTAAAAAAGAGATTAAATAGTAGTGTTTGATGACCTAGTGTATCTATATATATATACAATATAACTTGTACCATACTATATACATCTATATTACAACATATATTTATATATAAAACATATTTTGAAGACAATATATTTTGGTCATATTTTTTCTGGTCAAGAAAAGATCAATATATCCTTGAAAAACCTCAATTTGTCCTTGAAAAGTCCTGAAAATGTCCTTGTCCTTTTTACATTAGCTTTTGGCTGACCACCCTTTTAATGTAGTTATTATTTTCATTACATATACCATTATATATATTTGTAGTTATTATTCTTTTAAAAAATATAAGTTCTAAAAAATATTATTTTTTAGATATATTACATACATTTTTAGATATATTACAAACTTCCTAAATTTTGCTCTAAAATAAATTTTTAATTTGCTATAAAGATAAAAGTATAGTTTTAAAAATTCCAAAGTTGCAAATCAAGCTGCCTAAGCTAACATGTGTTTTTTATGTTTTTTTTTTGTCAAAAAGAATGTTGTGACATGTGAATGTTTTGTCAAAAAAAATATTGTGTTTTTTATCAAAAGAATAATAAAATAAAAACAGCAACAATGGTTTCAAAGAGATAAAATTAAAATAACGAAAGTTTTAATAAACTTTCAAATAAAATATTACAGAAAACCAACAGAAAAGCAAATGTTTTGTTCAAATTCTTTGTAAAATAAATTAAAAATGACAAAACGTTTTAATCAAGTTCTTAAAATGTTTTAATTAAATTCTAAGTATTTAAATAGTAAACAAAACAAATAAAATAAAAATAGAATAAAGAAAATTTTTATTAAATTTCTAAATGAAATAATTATAATTAAAATAAAACAAAAAAAGCAAAACATTTTAATTAACTTCTAAATAAAATTGGTTTTAGTGGTTTTATACTAATTCTTCATAAAATAATTTAAATAAAAATGGTAAAATAAATTTTTATGTATAAACCTTTTATTTAAGTAGCAAATATAGTTTCGTTTTTACTTAACTTTAACATTTTTTGTTGAGTTGTTATATGAAAACCCATTTTGCCCCATTCGCCCCATGGAAACACAAACATTTCATTTAGTGTTGTGGCTAGTGGGTTGGAAACCTTTAGGCGTATAAAATTGCGTTAATAATATTAAAAAAAAACCAATTGGTGTTTTAAAATACAAGATGCAAATACAGTTTCGTTTTTACTTAACTTTAACATTTTTTGTTGAGTTGTTATATGAAAACCCAATTTGACCCATTCATAAATATATATATATGTATATAAATATATATATATATATATATATATATATATATATATATATATATATATATATATATATATATATATATATATATATATATATATATATATATATATATAAAAGAAAAAACTATAAACGGCTGCCTAATCACCCGAATGGAACTTTGAAAGAAGAAATTTACTTTTATGTCTACATTTAGAAACTAATTCATTACTCTTATTTAATAAGTTATCATTAGTATAAGATATTTTGAGATACTTTTCAAATAAACAAAGGTTGCAACGTTTTACTGTGGGTTTTACGTTTTACTATATATATATATATATATATATATATATATATATATATATATATATATATATATATATATATATATATATATATATATATGTATATATATATATATATATATATATATATATATATATATATATATATATATATATATATATTAACATTAACTCCTTAAATTTGCGAAAGGGACCCTAAATTCGCTAATGTAAAGTTGCTTATAAAATTGGGGTGTGTAATTCCATTAATTCTAAATAAAGTAATTAAAATAAAATTAGACAATTAAATGTTTTATTTGAATTCCTAATAAAATGGTAAAAAGATCCATTTACTTTTCCAAGTTTTTAAACAAACATCGATGTTTGGCATAATGTTTTTCTGTCAATTTAATGCTGAATTTTTCTGTTTGCCAGATTGTTGTATGTATGTATGTATGTATGTATGTATGTATGTATGTATGTATGTATGTATGTATGTATGTATGTATGTATGTATTTTAGTAATTCTATTCATTTTTATTTAGAGTTTGAAAGAAAGCGATAATGACGAAGGAAAAGCTAATGAAGGAATTCTTATTATGGTGGGGAAAATCGGAAGAGATATTCATGATGAAAAAATTGTGATTAAGGTTTGCGTACTTAAAAATTTTTTTATGCAAAACAGTTTTGCTGATAAATGTCACTTTTGCTTATAAATATGTTCTTTTTGCTATTAAATATGATAAATAAATATTAGGATCAAGTAATAGCGGAAATATTTAATTTATTAAAATAAAAACATTTCCTATGTCACAAATTGATTAAGATCAGAATTGAAAGTTTATTTGTCTTTTTAATATGCAAGTTTGTGACAATTTGCAGTTAGTTTTTGTGAAATGTTTTGATGCAAATAAAATATTTTGCCCACATATAGAGTTGTACTTTTCAATTTTTATTTGGTTTGTTGTTATTCACCCTCTAAATATTTACAGCTAAAAATAATTTAAAAAAGGGATAAATAATTGATTTTAAGGAGGCATTTTTTGCCTTTAACGTCTTGTGAGGATATTTTTTTTCCACTTTATTTTGTGTCCTTCCTCTAATTAGTGTAAACTTCTGTTGTAAAGATTCTCTATAGTTTACATCTATAAGTTTCTATATATATTAGAATAGTTAAAACTTGACAAAATTAAAAATTTTCTTAAAAAACTTAAAAATTATTTTACAAAGCCTATAATAACTACTTTTTTCAGCCTTGATAGATAATCTAATATAAATATGTGTGTGTGTGTGTGTGTGTGTGTGTGTGTGTGTGTGTGTGTGTCTATATATATATATATATATATATATATATATATATATATATATATATATATATATATATATATATATATATATATATATATATATATATATATATATATATATATATATATATATATATATATATATATATATATTGTGATGTTAAAACAAAAGTTGCAAAAGTAAAAAAAAATTTTAGTTAAATACATTACTTAATTTTAGTTTAATTTTTAAGTCAAAAGTTTTTTTTCATTTTCAAACATTTTCATGTTTGAAAATATTTATTTTTCTTTCGAAAAGCAATTAAGAAAGTTATGTAAGAAAAATATATTTTAATTTAGTTTATAACAGGGATTATCTTTTTCCGGATATTTCTGGAATTCCGGAAATATCTGGAAAAGCTAAAAGTTGAGTCCGGAAAGACTCAACTTTTAGCTTTTCCGGATATCAAAAATGTTTTCCATACATACAAGTTAAGCTATATACTTTTCTAATATATTTGTTTTTTATACTTTTTCACTCAATATTCATACAAAAATCAAGTAAAGTTAAAAAAAATTAAAAACAACTCAGCTAAAAGCAAAATAAGGAGGAATATAAGAGAAAATATATTCCGGATATTTAACCCTAATGATTTTCCGGATTTTTAAAATATGACCTGGATGATCTATGTTATAAGTATATTTTACATTTATTATGTTTATTCTGTATATTTAAGTATATTTTCTTCTTTTTGTTGTTTAGTTGCTGGGTATGCTTTGGGATTATTGGCACACCACAGATTTACCACTCTGTTTACTTAATCAAACAGTTCAATCTCATTTGGATATTTTGACTGATTCAACAGTTATTAAGGCTCCTGTCAAACTTGATTATATATCTAAATGTGTTGCAGACCTAAAAAGTAAAACAGTTGTAGTTCCTGCATTGCGACACATCCTACATAATTTGCAAGCAATGATCAAAGTTCATTTTTCAAAAAATGGACATGTAATTTTTTTGAATTGCAATTTTGATTTTAAATAATATATTTTATATTTTAATAAAAATTATGATATAAATATAATTTGTTATTTCAATTATTTTTTATTTTTTATTATTTCTTTTAGTTGAGCTTTGTTTAGACTTTCTTTATGGTTTATTTTTTAAAATTACTAAAAGTATTTATTTATAATTTATGTAATTATTACTATTATTATTATTAATTACACAGGTCAACAAAAAAATTTTTTTTTCCTGTTGCCGAGTAAACAATTAGTTTTTTTTATTGCATTTCTCATTTTGATTTCAAATATGTAACTCATTTTTCAACATCACATTAAGTTGTAAAGATATTTGGGTTCAAATTTTTAGTATTTGGGGTATAATCTCCAATATTGTCGAAAAAAATTGTCGACCTGGGTCTCAAAAAAAATGTATTTTCATAGAGATTTTAAAAATGTTATTCGTTTGTAATAAAAATAAGTACTTTTTGTATTATTGCTAAAAAACATATTGTTACAATTTTTTAAAGAGTCTTGAGCATTTTTTCACATAATTTTTTTGTCAATAAGTTTTAAAGAAAAATATTTATGTTTTCTAAAATTAATTATAATTACTAACACAGGTCAACAAAAAAAATTTTTTTGTTGACCTGTGTTAGTAATTATAATTAATTATATATGGGATGCTGTGTTAGTAATTATAATTATTTATATATGGGATGCTGTTTTTAATGATTTATAACTTGTTATAACTTTACGTACAACAAGAAATGTCGCAAAAACACTTAATCATTAATTATAATCAATCGCAAAGTTTTTTTTTCTCTTTTAACTTTATAAAAAATAATGGGCTTTAATTTTCAGATTTAACTATATTTACAATTGATTTATATCAATAATATATAAATCTATAATAGTTAAATCTATGATTATTATTAATTATAGCATAATTCTTGTGTTTTTTTTAACTTTAAGATACTAAATGTACTTTATAGCTAAATATATTATGTAACTTTTTTTTCAATACAAAAATTTTAATGCAAAATTTAAAGCCTTAAAGAGTAAACAATATCCAGTTAAACTGGATAAACACATTTAAAAAAGAAAAAGAAATAAATAACAATCACTCTATTTAATTTTTAATGTTTTTTACATTTTCTGGTACAAAATGCTGTGTTTTTATTTACATGTAACAGCAACACAGCAATCTATCTAGGTCTTGCCAATGTGCAAACCGCATATCTGACTGGGGGCCTATTTTAAGTTTTGCCTAACTTTAATCACCATTTTAGTGGTATTAAAAATGGGTAAAAAATGTTGCGTTTATGGCAAATACTACAAATTATTCATCTGAAAAAAAGAAATCTGATAATTTAAAGCTCTCAGTATATTGATTTCCTAAAAATGAAGAAGAAAAACAAACGTGGATTTCAAATGTAAACTTAAAAGTAACTAATGACACTGTAGTTTGTGAGTTGCATTGGCCGATAAATTTTGAAAAACAAATAGAGGATCGTCCTAAATTTCCACCATCTGTTTGGCCTGGCATACCGCCTTGTCAAATTCCCACCCATCTTCCTTCATTACATACATCAACTTGTGCTTCTTCGTGTTTTTGAAATTTAGCTCAAGATGAACAATCAACTTTTTTAGAAAAAGAATGTAACTTTTGCTGGAATGAAAAAAGTTTTTTTTAAATAATGAAAGAGATTAAGGTATTCCATTAGTATGGTTTATGAATAATAATTCTATTCATTTACAATCACAAGTTTATTCAAATGGAGTTGCATGTTTTTTAATCAAGAGTCGTGAGGATCTGCATTTTGAAACTTATCATTATGGTGCTGCAAATAAAGTTCCTACAATTTTTAAAATCAGAATTTTAAAAATCAACAAATGGTCTTTAGTAGAAAAAGTTTTACTTTATTTGGAGAATTTAATTCCTAAAAGAAAATAAATTGTAATTCAAGAACATTTAGCTTCTATGGGTACACAGTGTGTTGGTAGTGAGATTGATTCTAAGGAAGTTATTATTAGATCTTTTCAATATTTTGCTACATTCAGAAGTTTGTATAATCAATTGCAAACAGATTTTTTTTTTTTTTTTTTTTAATTTTAATTCACCTCCTCAAGGCCGAGAAGGCCACTACAGACGAGGAGGCTACTTATTTGTGGCTATAATTCTCTCTCAACTCTATAACTCTGAAACACGAACCTTGACGTACAAGGCCGCTGCGCGGAGAAACGAGTTGATTACCAGTTTACCAGATTACCAGTTGCCTTCTGTAAGAACTTCTGTAAGGACAAGTATAACTTCAAAAATTTCTAAATTAAAAGAAAAACATTTTTTGACTAATATTTTTCAATCTGTTGAAGAAAAACAGAAACTTTGTTTTTTATTGCACAATAAGGTTTATGTTAAAAAGATGTTGTTATACCATGGTGGTACATTATTCAGAAAAGCAATCGATGGTTCAACAACTCTTGTAAAAACTGTATTGGGTCTAATGATTAATTGCTTATTCAGTGGACCATTCTTTATTTCCAAAATAATACCTATAAGTAAATTGAATTCTCAATTTAAACAAGTTGGCATTACTATCCAATCAGTAAAGGATTCTTCCGGTCAAGTTAAAGCTATAATATGCAATAGACAATTAATCAGGCATTTTTTAAAATCTTTGAAAGATCAACTCCAGATAAACCCTGGTTGACTAATGATGGTATTTTCTTAATTTTTAATTATGTTCATTTGCTTAAAAACATTAGAAATAATTGGCTTACTGAAAAAATTTGTCAACTTATTTTTTTATAATAAAGGAGTAGCACAATGGGATCATTACTTCATGAATCCAAAAATTTAGTTGAATTATCCAACTTAAATGAAGTTTCATTATTTCCAAAGCCAATTGAGAGCCAGTCAGTTTCTTTTTGTTAATAAGTATTTTGTGCAATGCCTTAATTAATTATCCAGGACTGCAGCATATAAAAGAAAGACATTAGTAGATTTTATTAACATTGTTGTATCATGGTAAAAAGTTCTCAATGTTAAGGGAACAGGTGCTAATATTAGATTTAATGACAAACTTCAAGCAGTAATTAGAAATCCAAGGAAATATTCTTTCAATTTTTTTTTTGAACTAATGATAAAGTATTTTAAATTTTGGAGATATGGCTTTAAAGATGGCTGGAAAGCAAGGTAAAAGGAAGAAGTAACTTATTTGCACAGTCAATTTACCACATATGCAATGGTATTGTTGAACTATGTAAATCATTATTGGATAACTCACTCATGTCGTTTTTAGTGAGTTTTCTACTGATCCATTGGAAAAAGAATTTAGCAAATCGCGCAAAAGTTCAGGAGGTACATTCCATTACAGTACAACAAGTGATTGAAAAGTTGAATATTTCAAGAGCTACCCTTTGCTATCACTTGATAACCTAGTTGGTGAGATAAGTCTTGTTTCAACCCATCTTTGTCCAAATTGTAGTTTTCTATAGGATGTGTTCTCTCTGCTGTGATATTTGCCCTCTGCTGAGATATTTGACAATCTGGACATGCGACGCCAGGGAAATATTCTTTCAAATATTTTTTTGAACAATTTATGTAAACTTTTGACTCCACATTCAAATAAAGTTCAAAAAATATTGCAATTGTCATGAATTCTTTGACAATATATATAAATATATAAATGTAAAATAGTAGCGAAACAGAAAGTCATTTGTATTGTAGGTTAACCATGTACAAATGACACTTTCTGTTTAGCTGCTATTTTTTATACATATTGTATATCTTTTTAACCTATTCTTTTGTTATTTCCTATTTCTTTAGTATAACATATATATAACTAACAAACAAGAAAAAAAATTTTAAAGTTTTTTATTGATAATTTAAAAAATCAGTCAATAATTATCATATTATAGTTGAAATATCAGACCCTGACTTGTTAACTTCGACATAAAAAAAATATGATTCCAGCACATTAGTATGTCAATATGTCATTATTTTCAGTTATACAAATATTATTACATTAATATCAATATAAATATATTAATATAAATATTATTACTTTTAATATTATTAGTTTTAATTTTAGAATTGGTTTAAATAAATTTTATGATTATTTTTGCAGGCTCGGCTGGAAGAAATTCAAAGTCAATATGATTTACTAAAACTAATAACAAAGAGCTTAGTTAATTGTCACATCCAAATAACAAGTTCTATTTCTGCAGGAATGTTGTCAGGAGATACTGTCATAAATAATTTATATACACATGCTGAAACAGTAATTACTCATCTGAAATTAATAGAGTTTTTATTGAAAAATGGTGATTTGTATCTTTCATGGAGTCATTGCAAAGATATATGGGACTGCTTGATGCTCAACGAAAAAAATTGTTCTGGTGATTTTGAGGTTTTTTTAAATTTTTTTGTATTTTAATAAAATAAGGCTCTTTTTTATATTAATTATCATAATTATTATTAATTATATCATTAGCCCATTAATTATCTCGAAAGTATAACTGCAATATGTTATATATTTTAATAATACAGTGTTTATGTAGAAGAAAATGGAAAAGTAAGATATTTTGTTTTCTTATCAGCTAAAGTTTTTTTTTAAACATGCATTTTAGACATCTGAAAATTGATATTTAGGACATATGTTCTGATATTTAAACATTTTTTTTGAAACTTGATATGTAGAGATGTTATCTGAAACTTTTTAGACATGCTTTGAATGGTTTTTAACATGTATATCTGACTTAACCAGTGAAAGAAAGAAAGAACTCTTTGTTTCAAGAATTTTGTCAACTGAAATTAGTAAAGTTAAAGAAGTTGGTATGTGTTTTACTTACATTTTAAATGATTACCTAAAATATAAAGAGTTCATATACTTTCTATATTATGTAAAGTGTAATTGTGATTTGATATTGATAAAACATTTATTTTTCTGTATAGCAATCAGGTTAATATATAAATATATATTGTTTTTTGTCTAGAAGTAACTTATTGAGAGTGTGTATTGTTAACAGTAATTTTGTGTGTGTTTGTTAAATACTTTATGTAATCAATACTTATGTATGTTAATTTTTTTTTTTTTTAACATCTTCGCTTCCAACAAGGCTGCAAGCAACCACTAATTAGTGTTGGAAGTTACTGGAAGAGAAAAGATGAAGATTGTAGAGCAAGATAACGATTGACAGACGACTTAAAAGATTGCAAATTATATGAATCAGGAAAGCAAGATGAAGAAAGCGAATTCCAAAGAACTGATGTTCGAGGAAAAAAACTAGACGAATAAGAGTTTTTGGAGCACTTAGGAACAGTAACAGAAAAAGGATGAGACTTAATTGAATGATGAGTAACACGAGAATGAATTTTTGTAGATAGCACAAGAGACGCTAGCTCTTTAGAGAAGTGCCCATAATAGTATTTGTAGAAAAGAGAAAGAGAAGCAACATTACGATGATGTGACAGAGGTTGAAGGTTGGCTGCAAGAGTAGGTCCAACTATGTTTACAATACGTTTTTGCACCTTGTCTAAAAGAGAAAGGGCATCATTAGAAGATCCACCCCAGATATGGCAACAGTATTCCATACAAGGCCGGATTTGAGATTTATAGAGATAGAGAATAGAATCCAGAGTAAGAAAGTGTTGAGCTCGATAAAGAGATGCAACTTTAGCAGATGCTATTTTTGCAACGGATTTGATATAAGGTTTCCAAGAAAGATCAGAAGTGAGAGTTGATCCTAGAAAATGAAGGGTAGATGACTCATCGAGTACATTACCGTTCATAAATATAGGAAGGTCTAAATTATTGCGATAACGATTGGCTGAAAAAAATTGAGTTTTATCTGAATTAAAGTTCACCAGCTACTGTGAGCCCCATGCTGTAGCAGAAGTGAGATCCTTTTCAAGCTCAAATACCCCCTGCAAGCAATCAGAGGGAGTTGGCTTCTTATCGTGACAAGAATAAATGGTAGTATCATCAGCGAACAATGCCACCTTAGATGTGAGAAAATCTGGAAGATCGTTAATGTAAATTTAAAAAAGTATAGGGCCAAGGATTGAACCTTGAGGAACCCCTGAGGTTGCAGAATAAGAAGAAGAGTGCTGTCCATCAAGGACAATTTTATAGTACGATTGGAAATAAAGGATTCAATATTCTTAAAGATGTTTCCAAATACACCGTAAGAAGAAAGCTTATGGAGAAGACCAGCATGCCAAACTTTATCAAGCGCTTTAGAAATGTCAAGAGCAATGGCCTTAACCTCTCCACCTTTATCTAATGCGTGATAAAACAGATGCTGCTTTCCAGCAGGCTGGGAAACAAGACTCTGATAAGCACTTGTTAAATAGTTTTGAAAGGATAAACGACAGCTCCGGAGAACACTTCTGCAAGACTATAACAGGTATGTTGTCCGGGCCGCAAGCTGTAGAAGAGTCTAAGCAGGAAATTATTTTAGATACAGAAGCTGGAGTGATATGGATGTCGAGCAATGGATCAACCTGTTTGATGGCTATATCAGGTAGAGCGCAACTAGTGGAGTCAAGAGATGATATTGATGAAAAGTTGTCTTTAGGCGAGTTGACAAAGTCTGAACCATACAAAAGAGGTGGAATTACAGACTTGCTCTTATTATTGATACTATTAAAAATTCTCCAGAAGTCACGAGAGCCTAACTTTTGTGATGATATTCAAGATTTTATGATCTGAGAATAGTGGGCTTTGGCGTTGGATAAAAACTTTTTACAATGGTTCCTAGCAGTAATAAACAGACGTCTGATTTCTGGAGACTTGTTTTGCTGATAGATATGGAAGTAATGGTTTCGATTGGCGATTGCAGCAGCACAACGGAGGAAAACCATGGAGAAGAGTGAGGCTTGACCTGGAATCGTCGAGAGGGAATAAAGTATTCCATGCCAGCCTGAATCCACGAAGTTATGTAAGAAGCACATTTGTCAATAGGAAGACGAAAGATTTCTACCCAGGGGCCATCACGAAGAAAATCACGGAAAGAGTCCCAGTCAGCTTTAAGGTAGTTGTAAGATGTACAATGATAGGGGGATTCTGATGATAAAGAAGAATGAGATAATAGTTTTAGAGAGACCAAACCATGATTGAGATAAGACTCAACAGAAGAAAAGTTACTTCGAAGACCACGAATATTAGTGAATGATAGGTTTAGCGAACTTGGTGATGAATGTGGTTTTTTGTGTTTTATTGTTTTTGTTACTTTATTCATTTTTAAATTTGTTAAAGAGCTGGACTCGAAACAAAGATAGTACTTAGTACTTTCTTAGTTACATAGTAACTTACTTACATAGTACTCAGTACACTGTTTTATAGCCCAAGCAATTGCCTCATTTCTATTAATAAACCCTAAGTTGTAAGAAAGGGCTCCAATATGGCCTTGGCAATGCACACCAAAAGTACAAACAGGGACACCATCCATGCGCAACATGGCACTGTTAGTACTCTGATATTTTACAGCTGTTGATGAAATAAGCCTCTCTGAGAGCTACCACGGAGTTCGGGAAACCTGACTACCAGCAGGCCTCAGAACCATTAAACTGAGTTTTAGAGCTGTACCCTCATTTGGAGATAATAGAATGAGTTGCCTAGTCATAAAAACAGAGACACAAGCAAAACCCATGCATCGAGTCAAGAAAATCCAGCGTTCAACATCCTAAACTGGAAACAATGTATTAAAAATACATCTGTGCCAGCCTAGTAGATGAAGCAGGGGTGTGAGGCTGGTCAACAGATAGAATCTGTTTACCCCTTAAGTCTTTGCCTAGGAGGCCTTCTACAAGACAGCATCCGGATGCATGTAACATCTGCCCAAGATGAGTATTTTTTATCGAGACAGTTTCTCTAGCCTTTACTCAACCAAGAGCCCCAGGACAGGGGTGTTTTATGTCAGAGTTTGCATCTCCTAGCCTTTGCCTAAAAAGGCGTATTCTACAAGGCAGCAGGACATGAAGCAGATTGTACTGTTTTACATGTTACCAGTAGCAGGATAAACCTTACCTGACTATAATTAATAATATATAATTAATAAATATAAGTATTAATTGTATGTAATTAATAAAAGTTAATTAAAAAATACATTGCATGTCATTCATCAAAATCTTATCTTTTTACATAACTGTTCCTTCATTTTGTAAAAAAAAATTTATTTTCCGCACATCAACTCTTTGGAAATTCCAGAATTTTCCACTATTTATAATTCCCAGAAATTTCATCTAATTTTATGTTTTTTTACACATACAATTTACAATATTTTAAGTCTTGTTTTTTTTTTGCTCTCAAATTCTCTTCTTTGCTTTCATTCAACTCCCAACTTGAATAGTGGATGTCTGCCGTCTTAATGGAAACAATTTTTACTAACGGAAAAAGATTTAAATCTGAGAACCGAAAAAAATTTTACAACATCTTTTATTGACTTTTTTTGAGTTTTTTCAACCATATTTTGTTGTGCAACACAAGTTTTATTAATTGATTTGACAAAATATTAAACATTAAGAATATAAAATCATAGTTTGATGGGTGACCAGTTTTTAGGCGTAAGTAACAAAGAATCTTTTGATGCAACAAAGAATCTCTTATGTGTATATATTATGGTGATGCTGCTAAATGCAAAAAGTAGGTCTTCAAGGGTCATTACTTTGTAATTACTGTAGCCTTATATTCTATAATGGTGTAGCACTTGTCTTGTGAGAGATGTCTTAATGTCAAACCTCTGAAAGTTAATATCTACATTGACTACAGCTATTATTTAAAGTTGATTAAAGTAATAATGAGTTTTTATTTACCTCATTTCTTTTTTTTTTAATTTTGGCATATAAAAATCAATATTTTAAAATTTTATTTGTTTTATTGGATTAACATCTGTTTTATACAAATAATATTTAAAGCATGATAGTTGTGAGAATCTTATGAAAGAACTTTGCTAGTTTTGTTAAAACGTAATATACTATGTATATTTTCAGTGTTTCACAGGAAGGCGTGGAATCGCACGCAATTATATTAACACACAAAAAAAACTTTATTTTGACAATTTGACCACAGCTTTTAACAAGTTTTCAAATTTAAAAATGCGCTAAAAAAATTTACTCAAATTTATCTAAAAAAAAGACTTTAAAAATGAAAAAAATCTCAATTAAAGAGAAAATAGATAAAAAAAATCCAACTAAAACAAAACTCTACAAACTAAAATGCTTAGTTTATTTAAATCATGTTTTTAATTATGTTCGGTATAATTTTTTAACGGGAAACCCGTAAAATAAATAGAATAATTTATTTGAATGACTCTTTAAACAGTACTCACGCTTAATTTAAAATTATAGTGTTTTTTTTTACTATTTTAAAAATATCATTTTTCATGTAAATGTAAACTAGTAAATAATTACACATTAAAAAATCATTTTATTTTTTCCTTTAACATTTGTATATATTTTTTTTTAGTTAAATTTGTTTCAAAATATTAACATTTATCATAAAAAATACATATTTATACAAAAAAAAAAACAAAAAAAAAATAGTTTATTAATACTTAACATAAAAACTCATTTGAAGTGTTTTGTTACTTTATTAAAAAGAGTTTCAAAAATATAAAAGCATTAATGATCAAAATTATTTAATTGTAACGATATGCAAAAACATGTGTTTTTTATTTTGATCAAAAATTTTTTTATTTTTTTAACTGTATTAACTTCTATGATTCTTATATTACAATTTGTTAAAGAGACTTTCATTGTCTTAAAAAGTCATCATTTATAAAAATAACATAAATTTTTATTTTTTAATAACATTTATTATAAAAAATGCATACTTAAATAATTTATATAATATAAATTTAAAAAATTATATACAACTGTCAATTTAAAAAATTATATACAACAAATAAAATCATTATCAGTAAATTGTTACTTTATTTAAAAGTGTTTCGCTAATATAAAAATGTTTGCTAAGAGGTTTTGATGTAATTTATCTCACCTAAGGTATAATTCAGCGTTTTTTGAAATATTTTAAAAAGCCGTGGTCAAATCGTCAAAGCAAAATGTGATTTGCCTGGTCATATAATGATGTGCGATCGCATGTCTTTTTGTGAAACACTGATTTTATTTAAATTATCAAAGAATATTATAGGTAATTTTATTTATTTATATAATTGCATATTTTTTATAATAAACTTTAATCATTTTAAATATTTTTTATGATTAATTATATAAACAACTTTGATAGCAAAAAACTTTAGCATGAAAGCTAGTGTTTTCTAAGTACTGGTTTTTATAAGCATTAAAATAACTGATATATTCAAATTTTTGTAAAAATAAACTTAGCAGAGGTTTTAAAGTCAAAAATATTTGTTGAAATTTATGAACTATCAAATATAAAGTTAAGTAAATACTAAAATATAAATTTATATTCATAATAATCAATTGTAACGTTTTAGTATAAATGATTAAAACCGGGCTGCTTAAATTCAAAAAAATTTAACACTTATTTAATAGCTCAAAAATATGAAATAGCTCAAAAAAATGACATTATATTAACATAACTGTGTGTTCAACTTTATTTTCTGTTTTGTATATATTGTATAAAAAGTTCAAAAAATAAAGGTTAAATATTACATGTAAGGTACAACCTTAAGATGTATGCGTATCTTAAAATGCTGGTTATTGAATTTTAGTCTCTTATATTTTCAAATCAATTGGAATAAGGTTTATATTATACCAGGAAGTAACTAAGGCATAAGAGAGTATAATTTAAAACATCCATTCAATGTCAAGTATACACTGGCAACTGATAGTATTTTGTATTTGTTTTTTGTATAGTTAGAACACATTTTCACTTAAAACATAAAATTCACATTTAAAAAATTAAGTTATAAAGACTATATATGGTAATGATCAGTAGTAGAAGGACTTCAGTTACAATTTTTCAGTAGTAGAAGGACTTCAGTTACAATTTTTCAGTAGTAGAAGGACTTCAGTTACAATTTTTCAGTAGTAGAAGGACTTCAGTTACAATTTTTCAGTAGTAGAAGGACTTCAGTTACAATTTTTCAGTAGTAGAAGGACTTCAGTTACAATTTTTCAGTAGTAGAAGGACTTCAGTTACAATTTTTCAGTAGTAGAAGGACTTCAGTTACAATTTTTCAGTAGTAGAAGGACTTCAGTTACAATTTAAATTTCCTATTGCTGTTCTAGTTATGATCAAAAACTCTAGACCTACATTTTAAGGTGCCCTAAAAAAAGTAAAAAATAAAAATACGGTCTGTTCTCCAAAATTCTCTCTATTAATCTATAAACAATAAATGCTTAACTCAATTTTGTTTTCCTTCTTATTGAAAACATTTGTGGTTTTTCAAAAACTCCGGAGATACCATTGACATATCTAACCAAAGCCAAATAAGTCTTTTTTTATTAATACAAGTAAAGTCTTTGTGCCTTAATTAATTTTTTTGGTTTTTTAAAACCTTTACAATATCATCTTCATTGTCAAATTTATTTTTATGAATTATTAAACAAATAATAAATAAATTTCAAATTAACAAAATAAAACACAATTTTAATCGGAAAAGAAATATAAAAATGTTGTTGATGTTGATGATCAATTCAGAAGCTGTAATCATTTTTGGTTTAATACGGTCAATTTTGCAGGATTTCTTGCTACAAACTGACTTTAAAACATCATTGCAAATAAGGCACTGCTTGTTGCCAAAAACACGACACCTTCCTTTACATTGATCTTTGCAATTTGATAAATTCTTCTTTTATTATTGCAAAAAAATTTTTAATTGTCTGCTTCTTTTTGCTTTTTCTCATTTTCTTTTTCAATTAGTTTTAAGAACTTTTTCCCATCCATTAATCCTTGTTGTTGAGTTACTTTTAACGGTTTTTTTAGAAGTGTCTTTTAGAGTCATCTTAGAATTAGATAGCAAATCCAGAACATCTTCAATAGGTGGTGGAGATTTAGTAAAATCATAGATATTTCTATATGCATTTTCAATTTTTTTTTTTTTTGTAATAATCATGAAAACCTATTCTAATACTGTGAGGGGGATGAAGCAATTGGGACTTTTTTAAAGAGCATCGTTTTGGAGAGTGAGAAGACTGAATAGTTGCTATACTATATAGTTGCTGCTTGTTAATATTTATCATTTTTCATCCAATTAATATACCTAAATCTGCAATACCAACCACTTAAGCTGCTTTGATTAAAGATTCTTTTGTTGTCCATGATGACCATATCTCTCCTAATATTTCCAGAACCAAGATCAGTTATGATCATACTAGAGAACAATTTTGATTTACAATAATAATGGCGACAATGATAGTGTAAACTAGGATTTACTTTATCCAACATTTGTGTTACACCTGTTGTGTCTGGCAAACCAACAAACAGACGAATTTGTTTTTCACAACTATAACGAAGAACATTCATGTCAAGTCTTAAAGAGTGACCATCTGTTAGTACCACCAAAGATTTCTCAACATTTTTCTGTTAAATTGGTATCAAAGAATTTATAGAAATCAAGTAGAGTATGTTCTGTAGTTGATATAAGTTTTGGATCTTTTTTACTGTGGGTTAAATAAAATATTTATTTAAATATTATCAAAACCAGTGAAAGAATTGCCATTAGTGTATCATCACCAGAAACAACTCCCCCCTCCCATCAATCAATTTTGAATTCATTTAATCAGCAAAATTGACCTTTTTAGACAAAGGGTCGACTTTGTAGAACTTTTAGACAACTCAGTCGGCAAATGTAGACCCGTCAGTTGGCATTAGCATGTTTAAGTTTAATTTTAAATCGGTTTAAAAATCATTTAAACTAATTAGAAAAAATTACTTATGAAATCTAAATTCGGTATAAAAAAAAGATTAAATTTCCTTATAATTTATTTCTTAAAAACAATCTTATACTTAACATAATCTATCGTTTGTTTATCACAATTAATAAATAAGATGTGATATTATTTTTATCATCAAATATTTAGTGATATGTTATTTTTATCACCTGCTAAAAAAAAAATTTTCTTCAATAAATATTGCAAGACTATTTTACATTCCTTTGAAACTAAATTTCAATTTTTAAAATCAGATTTAATTTTTAATTAAATATGATTTTAAAAAATGAAATTTAGTTTTGAAGGAATGTAAAATAGTAAAACATAGAATGTAAATTTTTAATTCATTTTAATTAAATATGGTTTTTTAATTTAAAAAAATTCACAGTAGTGGTTAAATGCTTTTTTTACAACAATATTTTCATAACATACATTTAGGTAAACGATAAGAAAGATAATTTAAATATTCCAAAATAAAAAAGTTGTCAATATCTGAATTTGGGCAGAACCTAAATACGATTGACACTGTCGAAAACAGTCTAGATTAGCCCCTGATATATATATATATATATATATATATATATATATATATATATATATATATATATATATATCTATATATCTATATATATATATATATATATATATATATATATATATATATATATATATATATATATATATATATATATATATATATATATATACATATATATATATATATATATATATATATATATATATATATATATATATATATATATATATATATATATATATATATGTATATATATCTGTGTGCATATACATATAGATAAATGTAACTAATATTGTTTTAATACAGGCTTCAGTTGCTTCAAAGCATACTTTGAGGATGTTAACAACGATGAACGTAAGTTACTAAAGAATGGTCCATCAATTTTGGTAGAAAAGCAAGATCTGATTGGTCTTTCATACTTGTTGCAATTAATACTAGAATCTCCATATCAAAGTATTGCAGATGAAGCATCTCAGTATTTCATAAATGTTTCTTATTTATTGCTTGCCCCTAAAATGAAAAAGGTTAAAAATTTTATTTCATCATTTTACCTAATATTTTGATAAAGATTTAGCTCTCTATATATAAATACACACACAGAAACACACAGAAACACACATGCACACGCGTGCACGCTTATTTAAGTGTGTGTTTGCATGTGTTACTATAAAATATATTTAAACAGATTGTTCTTGTTTTTTTACAGATGGATATTCGAGTTATTCATCAGAAATTTATCTGTGAGTGTAATATGAAACTTGATTTATTAATGTCACAGTTGAATGAGACTGAGCAACCAGAGCTTCAAGATATTAAGGTTACCACATTCAAAAAACCTCTGCCAGTTAAAAAAAGTATTCTTGATCGGTATCATATCTTATTTATTATTTCTTCGTCTTAAAGCTTGTCTGTAGTTTTCTTAAACAATTAAGTTCTATCAATTTTTAAGAGCTAATTAAAAAAAATTTATCACGTTGATTTATATATAAAAATATATATATATATAAAAAATATATATATATATATAAAATATATATATATATAAAATATATATATATATAAAATATATATATATATATGTGTATATATATATATATATATATATATATATATATATATATATATATATATATATATATATATATATATGTTTTTGTTAACATAGTGAAAAGATTTTGCAATCAATGGTTCGTTTACTAAATTTAATGTCACTGTATATACAAACAGTTGAAGAAAAATATACTGCACATCGAACATATCCTCCTCATGAATCCTGTTATCATGGTTCACCTGTTAATATTAATGTAACCTGGGAAACAAACAAGATCAGCTTTGTTTTACTTAGTCATAGTAATGAAAGAATTTCAAGTGTACGACAAAAAGTAGTAACTAAAATAAAATTATTAATAGAACAAAAAATATCAGCTGAACAAATACAGATCTATTATAATGACCAACTAGTAAGTTCTATTATTTTATTTTTGAGATAAAAATTAATATTTAGATTATTCTGTTCTAATGAAATTTAAATTGTTTGCAGTAAATAAACTCTTATTTTTTTTAATTTTAGCTTCTTGAGAGCAAAGATCACATGTTACTGAAACAATTATTGTTCAAACAACCTTTTTGCTTTAGTATAAAGCTTGGTCCTGTGATATCATCATTGGATACCCATGGATCATCAAAAGAGGAGGTTCTTGAAAAATTAAAAAAAATAAAATTCTTTACCCTAAACTAACAGTTTTTAGTTAATTTTAATTTTTAGTAGTTGTTTTTTGTTGTTGTTTTGTTACATTTATATTCAACTTAGGTTAACTTTTGAAAAACTCTAAAATAAAATAATAAGAATAGAAACTCTATAATAAAATTATGTGACTTAAAAAATCATTTTTTTTTTAATATCTTTATTATCTTTTAACAGGATATTTTTAATTATCTTTATTATCTTTTAACAGGATAACTAAAGTTTATGAATTTTAAATTTAAATTTATTCTCTGAAAATATTTTTGTACAGTATGTAAAAAGTTGTAGTGTTTGGTTGTAAAGTTTTTCAAAAATTTTTTATTTTATTAGGTGCATACTAAAAAACTGTCAAGTTTGCTGGAAAAAGAAAAAACATTGCCTAGTTACATTTTAGCTATGGACTGCAAGATATTTGATAAACTTTATCAGCTTGCAGAAATTGAAGAACCAAGAATGACAAATGCACTTCAAAATCTGCTTTCTCGATTGCCCACTGATAACGATATTCTCCAGGCTATAGAAGTCTTCAGTACCTATGTATACATTTTATTACTATTATTATATGAGAAATTTTAATAAGAAAATTAAATTATTTCCTTTATGCAGTTTTCTTATTAAAATAAGAAATTATGGAAGAGTTAAAGCGATTTTTTAAATGCTTGTCCTGGTGTTAACCTGTTTTGCCATTCAGGATACAAGCACTAGCAGGGTAATGATCGCAAGTCAACGAGCTTTTCAGGTTACTACCACTAGGAGGATTAACAATGCTTCTTTAAAACTTCTTCCTCATCCTATTTAATTAAACTTAAAATTTACTTAGTTTGAGAAATTTTCTCTAAGGGGCTGTTTATATGAGGTTATATGTTAGCCTGGCTGGCTTGCTTAAGATCTTAGCATGTTTAATGTTTACCTATAAAAATTAATCTTCTTTACATGAGAAATGCGCTAGCCCGGATAACTAAGATCTCACCTAATTTCAGTGGGATCCCACTCAGGTGAGATAATTTTTTTCCATATAAACACAAATAAGTGGGTCAGCCCTGCCTATGAATGTAGCTGATTCACCCTAAATTTTTTATCCAATCAAACTTATTCCCAATTGTTTTTAACCTGATAGTTCAATCAAAATCTGATAGTTCAAATCAATATAATAGAAGGATTTTTTTACTTTATAAATTTTTTTTTTCTTAGTTTGTTTTATAATTTGGTATTACTTTAGAAAATCTTTTTAGAATCCTTGGATGTCTTCTCCAGGAAAGCAAGCTGGTTATACAAAATCTTCAGAATCAGTTTTGGAAAATTATTTTAAATGTTCCGCATACAGAATGTCAACATTCAGAGTTCTATACAATTTACAGGTGATATATCTGTGTGCATGCGCGCATGCCTATATAATGAAATATATATATATATATATATATATATATATATATATATATATATATATATATATATATATATATATATATATATATATATATATATATGTTTGTTACTGCAGATTTAGATCTACATGATACTAATATATTCTATAGGCTTTAATTGTTAAATTGTACTAATGTACTAAAGTTTAAAAAAATCATGAAATTATTTTTTTCTCTTACAATAGTAAAGTAATACTTCCAATAATGTATGCAAGTTTTTACAGTAACACTTATATTATTGCTGTCTGTCTGTTTTTTATCTTGTCAGTTAAAGTTTGTAGTGAAGCTCACTACCCCTACCTATCTCTACATCTGTGTGACATCTTTTATGTTGTAAACATTATGTAGTAAGTTGGTATTTTACCAAAACCAAGACTATGGCTGGAGCTGCATAACTTTTTTTAAGGTTTGAATCCTCATTTGAATTCTTTTATATGCTTCTGCTTAGGATCTCTTCATTCTATCACCTTTCTCTTTGTTGTTTATCATTCTCCTACTTCCCAAGATTGCACTCTTTTAGATATAATTTTTGATCAAATTGACCATGCCCTTTCTCTTTACCTCTCTGCCAATATTGTTGTTATTGGTGACTTTAATGCTCATCACACTGAATGGCTTGGCTATAACACCACTGATGCTGCTGACACTAAAGTCTATAACTTCTTCATTTCTCAATCTCTCACTTAGATAGTTAACTTTGTGACTCGTATTCCTAACAAATTTAATAATTTATATTCACTCCTTGATTTGTATCTTCTCTCTGACCCTAGCTTGTGTTCAGTTTTTTCTTTTTCTTTTTTGGGTGGATCTGACCATGCAATGATCTTTATAAATTTTTATACCGCACTTCTTTTTTGGACTCACCCTATCATCACATTACTTGCTACTACCCTAAAGCTGACTGGAATACTTTTCATGATTTTTTTCATGATTCTTTGTAGTCGTCCTTGGACTGATGTATTTTATCTCTCAACTGATAAATGCACCTCCTACATAACTTTACCTGAATTAAATCAGGAATAGAAGCTTTTATTGCTTCTCGTCGGTTCAAGTCTCATTCTTCTCCATGGTTACATCTTCTTGTGCAGTTGCTATATCTAATCAGAATCATTTTTTTTTTCATCTTTTTTAAAAGAATAACTCTCTTTAAAACAAACAACTATTTATTATTGCAAGAAATTGATGTAAAAAAGTGTTGTCTGATGTTAAGCTTCGTTATTCTCTGTTCACTAACTAAATTCTGTATCTTATCTCAGAAGTTACTTTCAAGTCAAGAGACTTTTGGAAAATCTTCTGCTAAATCTACATCTGACTTGCTAACTACTGTGACTGAAAAATTTTATCATGCATTAGATGGAGGCGGAGACGCTAATGCTATTGCTCTTGACATATCTAAAGTTTTCGACAAAGTTCAGCATGCTGTTTCTCCATAAGCAGAAGAATGAAGAATGGTCTTGAAGCCAAAATCTTCTACTTCTAATTATAATTTAAATTCTGATTGGCGTCCTCTATGGACAAACCCTTAGACCATCATGTAATAAACTGTGTCCTCAAAAGAAAAGTTTTGAAAATAGAAAAATAGAAAAGATTTTAAAATAGTAAACACAAGCTCATAAATTTTATATTTCACATTTACTGTGAATTCATTTTTATAATTAATATTAATTTTCTTTAGACATAAATCGCATAGCAAAATAAAGCTACAATGACAAAATCTCAGCAAAAACAACAACAAATGCCGTTTAATTACAAAAAAATGTTAATCACAAACGCTTGCATGCTATCGTGGCAAAAAAGAATACCGATAATTGTTTTTTTATTCATAGTAATAAATTGTTATTATAATTATGGTTCATTCAAACATTTAAATTTGCTTTAGCATTTTAAATTCAAGAAAGCAGTGACTCCAGTTTTCTTGATTTTTAAATTTCTAGTACCAGTTTGTTGTAATAAAAAAAAACATTCTTGTTATTAAATGAATTTAATTTATGTTTTAATGTATGTACTTAGTTTACGTTTTAATTAAAAGCAAGCAGTAAAGTAAAGATATCTATTTTCCTCATTAAATAAATTTTTAGTACCAGTTTATTATATTCATAAAACATTTTTTTGTATTTAACTTATATTTCAGAGGTGATCTTTTAAAAAAGTTCATCAAAAAAAGATAGTAGATAAGTAAAATGTGATTTTAGTCAATATATAATGTGATCACGTAGTTCAGTTGATATAAAATAGCAAACAAAAAAAGATAAACAATAACTAAGACTTATCAGTAAAGCCATAATTGATCAAAATTTTGAAAGTATCTGACAAGTGGCTTCTTAATATTTTTGTTGACAAAGCACATTTACTACTTGAAGTAGAGTTTACAGACAAGTAGAGTTTGGATAATAGGATTTCTTCACCTTTAAAATGGGAATTTGAATTTTTTGAGCATTTGGGAATACCATGTTTGATGGGGCCCCACAGAGCTATTTTACACCCTGCTTTTGACATTTTTATATTGATGAATGGCAACCCTCTCACTGAGTCCTTTTCTTTACGTCTTCTTGAAATATCGTTTCTTACTAACCTTTCATGGAAACCATATATACAATCAGTTGCTAATTTAGCATCTGCTAAGGTTGCTTCTCTTTTTTTTGCTTGCCACTTTCTTACTCCTGATTTCATTCTCTACCTCTACAATCTCTTATTCATCCCTGTATGGAATACTGTTGTCATATTTGGGCTGGTTCTTCTAATAATGCTCTTTCTTTTCCAGACAAGATCCAAAACAAATTGTAAATGTAATTGGACCAGTTCTACATACCTTCTATATCTTGAGCCTCTCTCCCATTTTTGTTGTTGTATCTCTTTTTCTTTTCTACAATTACTATCATTTTCACTTGTCTCTCTATTTAGATAAGTCTCATTTTATTACTGTATCTGTCCCTGCTTGCTTTAAAAACTTTTATTCGTCTGGTTTTTTTTCCCTGCTCTTTAACCCTTTGGAACTCTCTCCCATCTTCATGTTTTCCTAACTCAACTTTGATGTTTCTCAATTTTGGACAGAAAAATAGTAAAATAGCTAATTTCGTTTAATAAAGTTGCTTTTGCAATGAATTAAAAAAAGTTATATATTTTTTTGTAATCAAATTTAAAATAAAAACATAAAATTATTGCAGTTTTGTAGATCCTGACATAATTTTGTTTTTATTATTTGAGTTTAAATTTTATCAACAATGTTGTTTTATATATATATATATATATATATATATATATATATATATATATATATATATATATATATATATATATATATATATATATATATATATATATATATATATATATATATATATATATATATATATATATATATATATATATATATATATATAGAGAGAGAGAGAGAGAGAGAGAGAGAGTATATAATATATATATATATATATATATATATATATATATATATATATATATTATATATATATATAGAGTATATATATAAAGAATTAGGATCTGCTAAAGTTGCATCTGTTTATTGTCCTCACTACTATCTTACTATGGATTCAATTTTTTATCTCTATAAATCTCTAATCCGTCCGTACATGGAATACTGTTGGCCTATCTGGAGCAGATCTTTTGTGATGATCTTTTCTCTTTTAGACAAGGTGCAAAAACTTTATATAAACATAGCTAGACCTGCTCTTGCAGCCATCCTTCAACCATTGTCACATCATTGTAATGTTGCTTCTTTTTCTTTTTTCTATAAATACTATAATAACCGGTGCTCTAATGTTCTAGTGTCTCTTGTGCCATCTACTAAAATTCATTCTCGTATTACTTGTCATTCAATTAAGTCTAATTCTTTTACTGTGACTGTTCCTAAGTGATTCTAAAATTCATATTTCTCTAGTTTTTTTTCCCAGAACAGTTCTTTGGGATTCACTTCCTAAATCTTGTTTTCCTGATTCCTATAATTTGAAATTATTTTATTGTCTTGCTTTATAAACTTCATCTTTTTTCTTCCATTAGCTTCTAACTATAACAATAATAAAAAAAAATCCTTCTTCCAAATTTAATAATTAAAAAAAAAGGAAATTAAAAAAAATAATTTTTTTTCATAAAATTTTTATACAACTTTTGTATTTTTTTTAGGGTGGTTGTTATTTTTTTAGGGTGGCTGTTATTTTTTTAAGGGTGGTTGTTATTTTTTTAAGGTGGTTGTTATTTTTTTAGAGTGGTTGTTATTTTTTTAGGGTGGTTGTTATTTTTAGCTACAGAATTTGATACGAGTCAAGGAAAAAACATACATTTTATAGTTTTATAACAATTAAAAGTTTTGATATGCAATTTATTCATGATTTCTATGAAACTAATTTGCAATGTACTCTAAAACTATGCGAAAGTTTGTTAATTTTTTCCTAATGTTTATTCGTTTTCACGTTTTTTAGTTTTTAAAAATGTTTTTGCTATGTTTGACGTTTTTTCTCAATACTTATATAATAGAAAAATCAGAAAATAAAATTTCTAAATAAATATAGAAAATAAAATTTATTTGTAAAATATATTGTTTGATTAATAATTTTTTTTATAATGGAAGAAAATAAATAAAAGATTACGATGGTTTCTTTTTTCAATGTAGTTGCAATACTTGATGCCTGTCTGAAACTGTTTCCTTTGTATTGCCCAAGTTTAAGTTTCCCTGTCTGAAACTGCTTCCTTTGTATTGCCCAAGTTTCAATATATAAATACAAATAACTAGAGATAATGAACATAATGATAGAGATAATGAACGTAAAGATTTCTCTGTTTGAAGAAATGTTTTTAAAAACTTAAAAGAATCTTTAAAAATTTTGTTAAAAAAGTTCAGTAATATAACAATGCAGATTTTAGAGCATCGATAACAAAAGTTCATGAATCCAACAAAGTGAAGACTATTTCAATGGTAGTTTTCATGCTTTACTGTGCATTGACAAAAGCAGTTAAGTTTAAAAAAAACATTTGAAAAATAAATTTTAATTTGTTCTTGTTTCTAGCGCAAATAATTAAGTATTTCCTTAATATACTGACCAACAAAAGTCACAAATAAATTGTATATTAAAAAATGTTTTTGTTTTCATTAGATTCTTATCTGCTTTGTTTCTCGACTTCTATTAATTTTGGCCATGAAAAATAATGCCTTAAAAAAAAAAAAAAAAAAAAAAAACAGTTAAACGTATGGGCCTATTTTTTTTTGACAAAATTTTTCTTTTTTTAATTTTCAATTTTTTTTAGTTTATTTGTTTAGATATTCTATTTTGTACAGTATTTGTTTCCTTTCTTCGAGTATTGCTGTTTTATTTCCTGTAGTTTCTTATAGGATTATTTTGCTGCAAATTCAAAATGCTTATTGTATTAAAACGTTGTCAAAAAAATTCACTTTAAACGTGGATAAACCAGCCATTTAACCGCACGCGCCTTCAGGGAAGGCTTGTATATATATACACACACACATCGCCGTACCCAGAAGTTATTTGCGCACACCTTTAAAAAAAGTAAAATTCTTTATATCCACAAAAAGCTGTTCTGGTACCAGTACATGGATTCAGTTGACATTTTGAGGATTTTTTTTAGATATTCTTTTATTCTATATTTTATATACTCCTTTTATTTTCCAGAATATAGTACTTATGCAAAAATTATATTCATAATTAATTGGGGCAAATTTGGCTGTAAATATTTAACTGGTCACTTATTTCATGTAGATATAAAATCTTTGGTATCAAATAATCTATTAAAAAGTTTGTCTTTTATATAATATTTAAGTTGTTTTCTTTGCTTTTAAAGAACTCATTAAATTTTTTTTAACATGTGTTGCATCTACTCTATAGGTTCTTAGTAGTAAGCTGATGCCTGTATTAGACACTGATTCTGCTTCAATGACATATTCATTTAAAGAAAATTGGTTAAATGCTGGGGGTTTGAGTTTGATAATGAATATTTTATTACCTGACACTTTGCCTTCGAATGCTGATTATGAACTTAGACAATCATGTTACTACATTATTTTGCAGTTAGCAAGGTAATATTAATGTTTTTTTTTTATTTGTGATGCATAAAAGATTGATAAATATATGAGCTAGTTTTTTAGTAGATATTTTTTTGACATTAATTTTTAAATTCAAAAACTAAATGATTTAAGTCATGGCGAGACCAATTACCTCTAATTGTGTATATATATTCTAAATTGTTATTTATTATATATTTGAAATAAACAATTTTGATCATAGAAGCCTTTAAATAAAATAAGTATAAATAATATTATTTACAAAAACTATTTCCTTGTAACTAAAATCTGAGTTACTGTATTGGGGATTTATAACAACAAATCACATAGAAACTCTCTTTTAATAAATATTTGGAAATATGTGCAGTTTTTTTTTTTAAGATATGTATAGTATCTTAGTAAATAAATCATATTTATTTATCTTGGAAACTTTTACTTATAGTGAGTTTTACTATTGATTTTTAGTTGACCTGGTCTAAAACATTTTCTTTTGATATAAGCCAGAAAGTATCATTTTTGTTGTTTATGTTTTTATTTTTTTAAATCTACATTTTTATTTTTAAAATAGATTTTTATTATGTGGAGATTCGATTTATGAGGACAATTTTGTTTCTGCGAGCTTGGCAGAAAATACAGCAGATAGCAGTATTGTAAGGACGTTTGCTGAAACCACTGTTGGTAATAACACAGTGTCTGGAAATGTACGTGTTGAATCTCATTCACCTGGTATTGCTACTAGCACTCCTATTAAAGTTCCAAACAAAATACAAATTGCATCATCATGGCCTGGAGTTAAAAATGGTGGTTCACCTAACACCTTAAATCAAATATCACCAAGTGCTGCAACATCTTCTACATCAGATAACGGGACAGTTCGCAAAAGAATGAGATCAACAAGTGTGTTGGATACTGTATCTCCCATAGTCAAAATGGTTATCGAGGTGCAAAACAGTTTTTAGGCTTTTAAAAACTAAACAACAAATTTTAAATTTTATTTTGTAAATTTCTTCATATTTAGGAAAGAAGTTTTAAAAATTAATTTTTCTAGAATTTGAATGAAGCAGAGTTTACAGAAACTATCTCAAGTTTAATGCAGGTGGCATGGGCTGCTGGTGCTGGTCAACTTCAGCTTAAAGCGCACAACAAATCATTGTCTTCAATAGCTTCATTAGAAGGACCAAGTATATTAAAAAGTGGTATATGTTTACAGCAAGATTTTGTGTCTGATATGGTAAGTCAAAAAAATTTTTTTTTTGCCTACGTAGTATTTTAAATACTACCTGCCCAAATAGTATTTACATCTGAGTAAAATTTATTAAACGAAAAAAAAATATTTTTATATAATTTTTTTCATATAATTTTTATTTCATTTTTTCTAAAATTTAAGGTATAAAAAAAATGAATGTAAATTACTTATATTGTGTTGACATGATAAACTATGAAAAAAAAAAACACATTCAACACAGGTTTGATAAAAAGAATGCATTCAACAATAAATGAAAAACAAAACATTTAGTTAAAGGGATCCCAAACCCCTGAGACATGTGTTCATATTAAAGAGAATGATAAAAAAAAATGTTTGGGCTAAATTTCTTTGATTAAAACAAAAGAATTAATGAATACCAAAAAAAACTTTTTTATTTTATTCAAAGCTCATCTTCTCTGTTTTATTGTAGGCCTATAAGTCAATGTAATATACGCTGCAATTCCTAAAAGTTTTAGTGAATGACGTCATCGACTTTTGTTTGTTTACATACTCGATCTATGGTGATATTCAAGGTTTTTCTCATCGCATCGCATTCAGTACTAGGGGTTGTTAAATGTGTACCTTGCAAAACATTTTTTATAACATTTATATATCGCTAACTTGAAAAAGGGGACATGTTATGAGAATTTTTGCAGGAAATGTCCTCTTTTTCATGTTTCATATAAGCTGATTAGAGTGTACTGCCCCCTGGTCTCATTAACATCAATTAAAATATACCAGAAATTGTGAGCGTTTACAACTTTAAAAAAAGCTTGTATAATGTCAATCAATATATTATATCACTATTTAAATATAATATAAAATTAAATATTTAATACTATATTTGTATATATATAATTTTTTTAAATATCCCAAACTTGTGTATTTTTCAATTATTATTGATTGTACACCAGAGATCAGTCACCATAAGCAAATGTTGATGCTGGATATGTAGATGTAGTAGATTAAAAATACTTATATTTAAAAAACATTTTCGTAGTTGTCCCTTAATTGAAGACCTAGTGAAATTGAAGACTAATTGAAGACCTTGAAATGCTAAAAGTACCTAAGTCACAAAATACTCATTCTGAGATAATGGAGTTCGAATATTCGAACTTACCTATTCATTCAGACCTACTCATTCTGAGATAATGGAGTTCGAATATTTAAACTGACCTATTCATTCAGACCTACTCATTCTGAGATAATATAGTTCGAATATTCAAACTGACCTATTCATTCAGACCTACTCATTCTGAGATAATGGAGTTCGAATATGCAAACTGAATTAACTGATCGAATACTCAAACTGAATCAGGCAAGACATGCTAATACATTTCTAATAATTCCTATACATTTACATTATTATAATGAAAAAATCTGCTAATTTTAAAGCCTTAAGCCCTAATCTTTTAGAAGATATATTTGATTTATTTTTTGGACTTTAGCACTTTTTATCCTAATGAGAGACTGCACTTTTTGCACAAAAAAAACCCCACTAAACTAAAGAATTTTTTAAACATTATTACTATAAAGAAATAAGTCTATTCTATGTCTTCAATGTCACTGGTGTCTCCATCTGCACCTATACTATGAATATTACTATAAAAGGTAACTCATTCTGGAAGATTGACATGTGTTAAAAGATTACAAATGTCATGAAATTTTGCAGTTTTGACAGGCAAAAAATTTACATATGCTTTATTAGGTTTGAGTGAAAGAAGAGTTGACCACATTTGAAAGTTTTTATGACATCACAACAGTCTCCGGTCATTGAAATTCGACTTAGTGGTACCTTGCTTCGTTCAAATTTTGCTCTTCTAAACTTACCAATTCCAGCTACTGGTTTTATTAAGGGATCATAAGCTCTTTTAAAGTCCAGTACTTTAACAACTGGGGTTCCATCTTCGATTATGTTGTCTGTAAGAGGATGCTCCACATACACAACATTAAATGGTTTTCTAGTATCTATATTCTTCACAAGTGATAGCCACTGTGAAAGTAGAATTACCCTGTCCTTTTTTTTTTTTCTTCTCCTTTTTTTAATGCGCTCCAAATTCCAGGGACTGGATACTTTACATAAGCTTGTGTTATAAAGACATTCTTATATACCAATCTTTGTAGGTAAGCAAAGATGTAACGGTTTTTATTCTGTGAAAAACAGTTATCCATGAAAATTATAATCTTTTTAGTTGTAGATGGAAAACCAGATATGTAATGATTCAGACATGAAATGACTTCATTTGGGCCATTAGCTGCAAAATGTTCAGCATACAGATACATATGAGCAGATTCATTTACATTGTCATGAATGCACAGGTTGTGAATTCAAAGTTGACGCTTATAATATTCTTGTCCAATGCCAGTTAGAGGAAGCGGTAATTTTTTTTAAAAGTCCAAACAGATCACTGCAGTGTCTTTGCTTAATTTTGCAGCTTCTGTGGCCTCGTTGGTTTGCACATTAAACACATCAGCTTTCCTTATGTGATGCTCATGTTGAAATTTCAGTTTATTTGCAAGAATGACATCATTAATAGATTCTGCTGCTTTTATTTGTGCTTGAAGTTTTTCACATTTATCGCATATGTCACTCCTTGGTAATCCAAATTTAATGTTAAATTCAAAGTTAAATATGTCTTGGTAAAGCTATAAAAGATAAATAAGCTATATAAGCAATAAAAGCTATATAAGCAATAAAAATAAAAATAAAAATAAAAAGCTATATAAGCAATAAAAGATAGATTTATTCTTTTTAATGAATTTTAATATTTAATTTAATATTAAATGTTAGCTAAACCTTTTAACTTTTTATTTAATATACTCTCAACAGTTATGACAAATGTTTTAAAAACTCATTGCTTGGCATTGAAAACTAAACTAACTTAAAATGGAAAAAAAAAGTATTTTTTACAAGGTAATTAACATTCCTTTCTTCTAGTTTTACTAAAAATTGGAAACCTAGAAATCTTTAAATACATAATAATAAATAATAATAGTAAATATATAATAAAATATTTAAAAAAAAATTTTTCTCTATAAATTTGTATTTAAATACATTATAAATATTATTATTTTTTTTAATTTAATTCATTTAGGTGCTAAAATTGTGCCAGACCTGTATATACATGATAAAAAACTTTTGTTTTATATTTTAATAAGCTGTAAAAATTTTTTTTTAGGATTCAATTTTATGTAAAAACAGTTTGGAACTGCTTGTCATGTGTTTACAGCTTCGACCTAACTTTTTAAGAGTTTTTTACCAGTTACCTGATGTTGTTGATTTCTTTATTGATTTATTGACAGGATCCCCAAGTGAACAGGTTTCTTTTTATAAAAAAGTTTAATTTTTTTGTTGAATTTTATTGAGTTTTTATATTATTTAGGTTTTGCAGGTGTAGTTAAAATATTTTAATCTTTTAACTTTTAAGTTTTACAAAAAAATTTAATTATTAAAAATTTTATAGTAATATATTTATTTTTGTTAATTTAAGATTTCTTTTATCAGGTGCATTATCTTTTAAAAATAATTGTTTATTAACTGATTGTTGTGCATAAATTTATGTAGTAATCTAATACTCATCTCTAATCATCTTATATATCTATACTACACACTGTGTCATAAATTGAAACAAAATGTCATTGGCCTATTAATGATTTGTTGGCTGGAGATAAATCTTAGGGCTAACTATAGTAATTATTTATATTAATTATTTATTATATTAATTAAATAACTACATAATATTTATCAAGTTCATTAATATTGTTTTTAAATGGCAGAGTCATCTTCATCTTGATGAATGAATCTGAATCTATCTTGAGCAAGTCATGATCCTTGCTACTTACAGCTCTTTTATATCTCTCCCAATATGGTTTAAGTTTATAATGAATGACCTTTCTTTCTCTTCTCCCTTCCCTCTCTTCCTGACCAACAATACACTACAGGGTTTTTAAAATGTTTATTTTTAATTTCCTAATAAATATCTAAATAGAAATTAAAAAAAGCAATTTTTGACAGTGTTTATGCTATAATTGTTAGACACTAGATAATCGGTATCAAGTCTCAGTTTATTGTTATATTATTATAAATTAAGTTCAAATTTTAAAAGAGTTTGTTTTGAAACAAAACCTTAATCTTGTAATTATTATTTTTTTTTAATTTTAAAAACTACAGCAAGAATTCTTTTAATTTAAATTATTGTATTAGTTTTTCTTTCTCAAATCATCATTTTAAATGACTCAAAGCCACTTTCTCTTCTGACTTTTTAAGTATTGTTTAATTTATAGAAGGATAGTTTTGAGTTTAAATATTGTTATAGTATTGTTTAAAGTTTGAAATAGATTCTATAAAATTCTAACCGCATTTAATAATTTTAAATATTAGAAGATAAAATTACAAGTATCTTGAAAACACTTTTTTTAGGTAAAAATATAGTTTTTTTAGACATTTTATGAATTTTCTTCTACAACAAAAAAACAAAACATTTTTTTAAATAAAAAAAGTTTTGATAAAAGTGCTTTTACTGAATCAAAACAAAATATTGTTTTGATTTTTTATGGTTATCTTCTTAAACTAACTTAAGGTAATCTTCATAAATTAACATATGTTAATAACTGTTTAACAAATGTTAATAACTGTTTAACAAATGTTAATAACTGTTTAACAAATATTAATAACTGTTTAACAAATGTTAATAACTGTTTAACAAATATTAATAACTGTTTAACAAATATTAATAACTGTTTAACAAATATTAATAACATAGTTAACAAATGTTAATAACTGTTTAACAAATTGATGTACTTGTTTAACAAATTTGAACACCTAGTTAACAAATTTGAACACCATATTATTAAATGTTACTAAATGATGGTAGCTATGAATAACTAGTTACTATGTAGTTTTATGTAAATGATTTTTTACTTACTAAAGATTTTTTGAAATGCTTTTGTAAAATTTTTAATGAAATTTTTTTATTAATATTTTAATATATTACATAATAACAATATAAAATTTCTGAACTATTTAAGCTGAGTTTCTGTTATTTAAATTTATGTTGGTCAGTAATTTGCATCATAAAAGTTTCTAGCTATTATGAGTTGTCTTTTTAAATAAAGTTTCTTATTTTAAGGTACGCTCGGCAACAGCACATCATTTTCTAGCTCTAGCTCAAACTAGTTTAAATGATTCATTAATCCCGTCACCAAAAATATTTATATTATCCACCTTAATGAAAATTCAATTACCGTTTTGGAATTCGTCTGGAACTATACGAGGACTATCATTTAAATTGCTGTCGCAATCTCAAAATTATTTTAACCTTTTGTGTAGCTTATTTCAATCATTATCAGTAAAAGAGCAAGAGACAATTGGTGTGGATGCTAATCAGCTTCTAAAATGCGAGTTACAGTTTTTAAGCAGTTCTGATTGTGCAACGGATCTTTTACATGGCCATTTAATGTTTGCAAATACACTATATTCATGCGAAGGAGTTAACTGCGAAGAAACAGATCAGGGTTTTATTCATTTTTTGTTAGATGATTTTTTATTTTGTGCATCTCACTTGGCTAATAATAAATCATTGTCTACAGTTGATTTACTTGATATTAACATGAGTTACAATAATGTCAAATGTCGAAAGGAAGCATTCAACTTGTTATTAACTCTTGCCAGCAAACGTCACAGTAATCTTCAGGAAATTGCAACAGATTTGCAGCTAAGACATCACAATGAACTGCATTCATCAGAGTGGAATGTTAGTTTGTTTTTTTTGTTTTTTTTTTCTTGTTTTTTTTTCCACAAGTTAATGATTAATTTTTTAATGTTTCCATGTTGATATTATTAATAATAATAATAATAATAATAATAATAATAATAATAATAATAATAATAATAATAATAATAATAATAAGATGTGGAGTCCAAGAGAATAAATGATCATTTAGAAACAAAACTGATGGGTTTTACGACTTTCATTTTTAAGAAATATATGTCTAGTTATGTTAAACTTATTTCTAATTCTCTCTTATTTAATGCAGAAGTAACTTCTGAGGATTTTTATGGCTTATTTTTGCACAAAATAAACTAATATAATTGACAAATAGAAACTGACATAAATAATAAATAGAAAAACCTATTAGAAATTTATTCAAAAAAGTTCCTGAAAATAAATATATTGGTCTTTATTTTATTAAAATTGTTAATTAACATCATGGATGAAGAGATTGTTTTCAATCATTCAATTTGTCTGATCATTTATAATAAAAATTACATTAAGTTGGATATTTCTCAGGCGAACCATATTTTTTTAACTAATTTTTGGTCTGTTGACTTGATATGTAATTATCTTTTAAATTACATGTATATAAAAGCACTTTTGTTTGTTTTCAGTCTGTTTTCAGGCTCCCTCTGGATTTTTCGGAGGTGAGTTTATAGTAAAAATATTTTAATGGAGCTAATATTTGGGCATGCAATTTAACTTGTGGTTTATATCAAATGTTGACGCCTTTTGAAGTTTTCCTCAAAATGATGTCATTCCCTTTAAATCAAGAAATGATTGCTGCATTGGTTTAATATCTTTCTGTTCAAACAACATGTTATTAATGGTCATTATGTTTAAAAATAGTCCCGGCTTTTTTTTTTTCTTATTTTTAGTACAGTTTTTCCAAATTAAAACTGTTTTCTTTTGTTCTGTAACCACATATTTTTTGGATGGAGCTTAAAAAACGAAGTTAAAAGCATATATGCTTTAAATAAAGCAAAAGCGACCATGTATTTTTTTTCCAGAAAGTTCTAGATTTTCAACTAATAAAGATTTTTCCAAAGTTGACATTTGAGTCCTTAAAAAGTGCAATATAAACCACTGTGCAGCAGTTGTGAAGAACATTCTTTTAACCTTTTCTTATTTGTTCTTATTCATATTAAGCTTTTTTACTTATTACTCATTTAACCTTAACAATTTTCCAAATTTTTAAAATATGACCTGGATGATATCTGTGTATATATATATATATATATATATATATATATATATATATATATATATATATATATATATATTAGTTTTTTAGCATATTAAATAAATCACTTTGCCTCTACATTTTTAATTATTACTATTGTAATTGTTACTGTAGTAATAAAAAAAGTTAAAATAATAGTTATTATAAAAGTTTCAGCCATCGGTATCACTTCGCCCTGTGAATGGATTTGTCGGACTGAAAAATGCTGGTGCTACTTGTTATATGAATAGTATTTTGCAGCTCCTTTATATGCAGCCTGGTATTAAAGAAGTAAGTTATAAAAGTTTGTTATTAATTTGACCTCATACAAGTTATTTTAACATTTATTCATTTTTTATTGTTATACATGCATTGGTTATTTTAGTATTGAAAAAAGGAACTCAAATATTATTATTTTTTATATTAGTTATACTTGGAGCATTTGCAATCAAAAATCAAAGAAAACAATTGTAATTTAAATAACATTTGGCATTTTAATATATTTTAAAAAATATATATATTTTCATTAAATACTTTTTGAAATTTTCAAAATTTTTTAAAATAATTTCTCATGAATAACATAATTAACTTAATTAGATTAAACTTTGTGTTGTTTTTCATTTAATACTATTAATAAGATATTATACTATAAATATAAGCTTATAATAAAAAATAACAGTAAAACATTGATATAAGTTTATAATACAATTTGTAATATATTTTAAATAAAATTTTAAATTATTAAAAATAATAATAATAATGTTGGTCTTTTTTTAATTTTGAATTTCAAAGACAACATAAAGTAGAAACTTGAAATTATTTTAATAAATTAATTAAACTCTATATTAATTAACCTTTTTACTAGTTATTTAGGTTTTAATTTTCCATTTTTTATTTAATTTCTTGTTTTAGACTATTTTTTTATTTAATTATTTATTTTAGACTATATTAAAACTTGAAGATGTTTGTCAAGAAAATATACTTTACCATCTTCAACTAATCTTTGGTCATCTGCTTGAAAGTCAGCAGCAATTTTATTCTCCAGAGCTTTTTTGGAAGAATTTCAAGCTATGGGGTGAACCAGTTAATGTTCGTGAACAACAAGATGCGTTTGAGTTCTTCACAAATATTACTGATCAACTTGATGAGAACTTGAACTCTCTTTTCAAAAAAAAAATTTTTAATAATTTGTTTAGCGGACAATTTGTTGATCAAAAAATATGCAGTGAGTGTTCTCATTGTTTTGAATGTGATGAACCATTTTCTTCACTTCCAGTGACTGTGAAAAGTGGTAACTTAGAAGCATCACTTGAGCAGTTTGTTCGTAAGGAGGTAATGGAAGGAGAGAATGCTTACTATTGTGAGAAATGCTGCGAGCATCGTACAACAGTTAAAAGGACTTGCATTAAAAGTTTACCTCCAGTGTTAGTTTTTCAATTAAAAAGATTTTGGTATGATTGGGAAAGAAACCGAGCAATCAAGTTTGATGATTTTTTTAGCGTATGTAAATAATTTTCATTTTGAATATTAACTTTTTAAGCATAAACTAACTTTTATTTATGCTAAAATATTTTTTATAAGTTTCCTTGGATTTTGAATATTGAACCATACACACTAGAAGGAATAACAAAAAAAGAGAAAGAATCTGCTGTCATTAACTCAAATCAAATGCCTCCTATGAGGATTGTTACTAATACAAAGCAGTACTATGAACTAGTTGGTATTGTAGTTCACAGTGGTCAAGCAAATGCTGGTCATTATTATTCCTTTGTGAAGAATCGCCAGTTAGTATTTATTTTGATACTATCAAGTATATTTTTGCGACTTATGTATATGTTACTGTTACTACTGTGGATAACCTCATACTTTAATTGTATATAATATTTAGGATAGTATCGATGTTTGAAAGAGTTTTTTTTTTCTTTTATACATTAGTGTTTATAAAATTATATATATATACACGCACACGTGCACACAGAATGTTTGTGTGTGCGCGTGTGTGTGTATATATATTACTCCTTTTTTCTATCGAGCTTCAATATTTTTTTATTTAGAAATGGAAATGGGGCATTTGAAAAATGGTATAAGTTTAATGATGTCACAGTAGAGAGATTCGAAATGAATGACGAAGCATTAAAAATTGAATGTTTTGGTGGAGAGTACAGAGTACCACAAACAGATTCAAGTTAGTTATTTTTTTACTTAAATATTTTATTGCTTAATTGATAAATAATAATTCATTTATAGTTGTCATGATGTTATTAAAATTATCAACAAATAATATTGTTATAAATTAAATCTTAATATACTAAATAAATAAATAAAAATTTATTTAGTATATAAAGTATATATTTAGTATATTAACTTTATATTTGGTACATTAGTATTTTATTTCCAAATTTCTTTTTTCCCTTTTTTTTTTTTTTTTCCTTTTTTTTTTTTTTTTTTCCTGCAGATAGTCAATATCCAGAAAATCGTATCCGAACTTGGAATGCTTATATGTTGTTCTATGAAACGATGGATAAAAACAGACTTCCGTTTGTTCATTCTGAGTATAACAGTAATGAAGGAAGGTATTTTAAAACTATGTCTTATATATAATATACTAATTTTTTTTTACATTATACTTAATTTAGACTTCACTCTCTCTTTTGTGTGTGTGTGTGTGTGTGTAAAACCAAGTTTTAAATAAAAAATAACACAATATTTAAATATAAATATATATATATATATATATATATATATATATATATATATATATATATATATATTTAATAATGGGCAATATATATATATATATATATATATATATATATATATATATATATATATATATATATATATATATATATATATATATATATATATATATATATATATTGCCCAATGAGTAGAAAATGCCTGTCAAAATTGTTTAACATACAAATGAAGAATGTTTAGTAAATTATAAATTGGAATTGATTTCTAAATGTAGATATGAAAAGTTTAAGTTTCTCTTAAAAAATTGTAAAAATAAGTTAGCTAATAAAATAGTAATAGAAATCCATATTAAAAATATATATTTTAAGTTTATGATTTCCCGTAATTTTAATTTTTATATAAATTGATGTTAATTAATTTTGGCATTTACTCCTATATCTTTATTGGCAAATTGTTGTGTAAAATAAAAAGTTTGATAATTGAGTTATTTCTAATAGTTAATTATATATTACTTACCTGACAGTGTCTGAATTAGGCAAAAAATTGCAGACCTTCCAATTTTAAAACCAAATTTTTGCTATTTTAAATAAATTAAAAATGGCAAAACGAACATTTTATTTAAAGTTTAAATAAAACAATTAAAGGGATCCCTAAGTGCTATAAAGATATGATCTCATATGAAAGAGCATTAAAAAAAAAAATGTGTGATGTATATTATTTTTTCTAAAACATAATAATGAACACACACTAACGAATTTAATTTTCAAAAAAAACCTTTTCTTTGATTTAAAAAAATGCGTCTTTTCCAAAGTTTATTGACTCTATTGCCTCAAAAACTAACATTTGTACGTCTAATTAAACAAAGTAGACAAAATGTCATTATTGCAAACATTAGTTGGTAATTAAATTTAAAAGTAAATTCGTTTTTTTTTAACTGACACAAAATTACTTAGAAGAATAAGTTTTTTAAAATTTTGTGAAAATATATTTGTATATTAAAATTTTTTAAATAATTTTTATTCATACATTTGGAAAGTTATAAGGAAAATTCCATGGCCAAAAATGAATAGAAGTCAAATTTTAAACTCTTTTTAGTCAGTTTTTAACAAATGAATAGTGATGTAAGCACATGAAACTTTATTTAAAATATTTCCTTAGTACAAAAATAAATTTATTTCAGTTATTTGTTATGGTTTCGAAAGTGACGGTTATTCTCATTTTCGCTTGATAAAAAAAATAATTATTGTAAAATGTTTTAGTTAAATTAACATTTATGTTAATTTTGCTATATTTTTTTTGGTTCAAATTGATAAGGTTGAATAGACATTTTATTAGAAATTAAACTAAGACTAGGCTCGACTTTACGCTAAAAAATCTAATCATGAAAAAAAAAAAATTTTTTTGCTCCCCCTTCCCTCCTCTCTCTTTCTCTTATAGCTTGCGCCAATGTGGGGTAATGGGGGGAGGGGGTTGCGTTAGTATAAAATTGTCTCTTTAGCACGTAATTGTTATCTTTTAACATACTATCTCTCATATTTAAATGTTATCTTATGATTTTCTTGTTTGGCGGAGTTTAAAATAGCGTAAATTACTGTTATAATTTACAGCTTAATTTATAATTTAAAGTTTAAGTTGCAGTTACAGTGTAACGAGCAAGTAACGTATTAATTCTATTAATTAAGTAATTGTTTTTTCTTAACATGATACTTAAAAAAGTAAAAGTAAAAAAATAAGAGTAAAAAGCAAACATTACTATATTTTAGAGACGGATCCAGGGGGAGAATGGGGGTATGCATCCCCTCCCCCCACCAGAATCTGAAAGTCTTGAAAGTATCATAGAAATTGAGGACCTTGTTTTTTGCTTTTTTTTTAGGAGATGCAAATATGGTACAAAATTCAAAAATATTTTAACATTCCCATCCACCGAAAATTCCTCAATCTGTCACGGCAATATTTAAACCACTTTAATTAGTCATAGAAAACTGTTTAATATGATCAGGCTGACGATAAAACACGTGTTTTTAATGAGTATTTAATTGTTATTGTAAAAAGCTATAAAACAACAATAAAACAAAAAGTTGTCTTTAAAATACAAATAACTTGTGTTAATGTAAAACAACTTCGTGACGCTGTTTTGTTGCTGTTTTATACAGTTTAATAACATAAAGTGCGTTTAAAATAAAACAAAGCAAATAAATGAAATTGTTTTATTTTTAATAAATTAAAAAATTATTGTCAATAAATCAAAAAACATAGTCAAAAACTTAATAAAAAATTAGATACTACGTTTTTTATAATTTATTGTTTCTTAAATAAAGGACTAATAAAAGTTTAGATATAATTAAGTTTTTCATTTAAATTGTTTTTAAGTTGATGTTTTTATTCAATTTTTTTATTTCAATTGTTTTCCAATAAAAAGTGAAACAAAAAAATTTGGTTTGATAAATCGAATTATACTTTATGTTTTAAATAAGGCCTAAAAACATTAAAGTAAAAAAGTTGCTGGTTTTTATTAGCATTTTTATACTGTTTGAAAAAAAAAAACTAATAAAAAAGAATTAACTAATAATACATTAATTAATAATTATTAGAATTAATAATAATAATTAATTCCTTTTTATTAGTTTTTTTTTCAAACAGTATAAAAATGCAAATAAAAGTCA